GTCATCACACTCTCTTTGGGACTCTACAGATCTCATTTTCGAAGTCGAGGCACCAGACTTGCAAGAAAATAAGTATATTTCAATTCTATACGAACGTATGAAAGACACTGACAACAGTAAATAATAAGTACTATACTACAGCTATGTCAGTTTTAAAACATCGCAGGAATTCACGTTCCATGAGCCTCATTTATAGTCATACAACTATATTTTGGAAGCATGCTAGACTGTCTTAATAACAGATGTAAGGTAAAAAAAAAACTTTTTCAAAGCCTAAGAATATAAAGAGATGGAAAGCTAAATGACAAGAGTGCTGAACCCTTTATGATTTGATGCCAAACTCGTCAGCTTTGGAGAGCCACAAATGTTTTTCTCCATCGATGCGATGACGGAATTCCCAGAGCACTGGAGTTCCCAAAGTGCTAACATTGTCTGGAAGTACCTGAAAATAACCACACCAAAAAAATTTCCATAAATAGGGAAACATTTCACTAGGAGAAAGAAGGAACTCTCTGATACTCTAACCCCAAAGTACCGCGAAAACAGACTTTGGGTTAAGGGAGCAAGAGAGATCAACTGAGGTGATTCTGCTAGGATTAACAATGTCGACAGAGTCACGTGACGAAAAAGAAGAAAGAAAACATAACACATAGGAACATAGTGATGTCTCATTTCATCATAGAATTCCTAGAAGCTCAGTGGTAGAGCATCGGAGAGCAGAATCCGAAGGTTTTGTGTTTTATTCTTCTCTACGAAATCAACTTTTTTCTTTGTCTCAGACCCGTGAAAAGACGTGTAACATGTTTATCAATAGTTAAATTTAGTTTAAGCCCCTCATCTAAACGAACACACAACTTTTACCTCGACGTTCAGCATTTTTCCGCCAATTCCAAGACAGGCGCTGTATAAAGGCTTTTCCTGTATCTGTCCTCCTGGCACTTCCTGCTTTGCACAACCCTTAACAGGCAGCTGCAATTCCTTGATGATGTCATCATCTAGTGTGACAATGTCACTTCCAGAATCCACCATAAACTTCACCCTCCGGTGTGGGACAGCAGCAGCGCCTTCATTCGGGTTATCCCGCTTATCTTGCGGATCACGGGCAAAAATGTCAGCTGTGAGACAAAGAAATTTACCGAACCTGTAAGGGAAGTTAAGATACCTACTCGTAACCCACACGGCATGAGGACGAATTTTCTTCCGCCCGTTTTTTTTTTCTCTCTTTTTTTCCCTTCTCTCGATCTGATCTGTTTTCGTTTGCTTCTCCCTTTAACTGGAGCTCCCACCGGGGTAAAATATCAATACGTTGACGCTCTAAATTAAAGATAAAAAAGACCACTTTCCAGGGGGTACTCTAAGAGATAAACTTCTTACGTTATATAAGCTCTGTACGTGCTCTACTCACCTTCCACCCCTCAACTGCTCATGCTCTTCCCAGGCTCCCTCTGCCATTACTGTTCCGTAACCCAGCAGGCTCTGAGCTGAAAAGAATCTGCCATAAGTTTTAAGTAGACCAGACCTGTATTCACATTTTGGTTACCACAAACTTCAACTTTATAATTGTGATAGCTAATAACTTTTGCAGGCTGTAGAGGGATTCTCTTCTGGCGGCTATAGAAAAGAGTTTTTCAAATGTGTAAACACTCGATTGCAAAATTGTTGACACCTTAGAAGCATGAATCATGAACGATGAGACCCTGAGGCTACATGGGAAATCTTCACTCATTTAAGTTATCAGCGCTTTACTTTTCGGAGGAAAATCGTTGTTTAAGAGAATTATTTTCTTTCAGGAAAATCGTTTATCACGTGCAACCAACTGAGCAACTGTTGTGGCTATCATGTACACACGTGAGTGTACCCATAAGGCCATTTGGTCTCACCATTCACTGCTTACGCTTTTAGGTGTCAACGCTTTTTCAATCGAGTGTACATCGGTGGATACATGACGGTGTATGTTTTAACGCTAAGATCTATTTAGTGATACTCATTACTGTCTGCCACACAAGTCTTATCGTTTCAGTTGGGAGAATTTGGTATTGGATCAACTTCTACCTCCCCAAATTGATATATTTCTTTGTTACATCGCCTATTGTCTGCTGGACATTGCATCGTTATTGTTAGAAGAAATTATGTCCTGGTCACTCATGGGAGCTAAACCTGTTAACATTTTAAAATTTCTGGAATCATTTTCTAAATAGTTGATATTACCTTCTCTGAACACCCTCTTTTTGTGTCCTGGGAGGTTAAAATTTACGCCGTCCAGAGACCGCAGGCTCAGACCAGAGCATCGGGCCAAACTTGTCAATCCAGAGGCCTGGAACTGCTCATAATACTGACCAAGGCCCAGAGAGTCCAGCCAAATTTTCATAAGTCTCCCGTCTAAAAGAAAACATATTATTTAATTTTTCAAATGATAGTTCTCTTTTCATCGCATCCCTTCTACTGCCGAGATATGAGAACTGATTCTTCTATAATTCCATACCTTATCATTGCTCTCTGGAGCAGCGAATCTGGTATTGTTTATCAAGATCATATCACTAATTTGATGTTATCATTCATTCTCACGACTATTTTGCTAAATATGGTATTAAACATGTACGGAGAAACTGTATATCAATCACTGTGGTAGTGTTGAAGGAGCTATGCTACTGTCTTGGCTTCGATTTTCGTTGAAGAAAAAATGTTATCAAATTAGGAAAAAACAAAACATGCAGGACAAGGGATTGCAAAGAGTTCACCCTTAAACTCCCATGATCTGATTTTTAATTCTCCCTTCTCGCTGCTATACATTTTCACGACGCCCGATGATACCTGAATTTTTGTTGATTGGCGCCTGTCAACTCTATTGATCGTTTTTGTAGCTATCAGAGTCTTGGCTGCTAAGTTAAGATGCCATGCTTTATTACAGAATTTCGATGGTTTTCCTTCAAAAACATATATTCTGTTGATTTGAAATTTATTCCTTTAGATCCAACGAAACAGTCGTGAAGGACATCAGATTTGTGATGTAAAATAGAGGCACTTATCAAAAATAGTTTTCAAAGATGAAATAATTGGAAAACCAACATGCTGGCTATCATGAATTTGCTGCTCATTTCATTGTGTCGCATTGTGATAAAGTTGTACAAGGCTTGTTAGCTTTTTTTTCTAACGATCCATTAGCAAAACGAAGGACTTTTGAATGTAGTAAAATCAATTGCATAAGTTATAACCTGTTTATATTGTTTTGACATTCGTGATGTCTCGATAAAAACCATTGTTCACCAACACGTGTTTTACGCCTCAGCGCGTCGCGAAATTTTCTTTCAGTTAATGAACGCCCTGTACTCGAATGAATATCGATCAGTTTATTTCTTAGTTAATCGCCAAGAGTTTTAAAAATTACAAATGCTCCATGGCGACCGAGTTTCATTAAGCACACTCGATGTATTCGTCTGTAATTAATGAGTTTTTATCTCCCGGCTCCTGTTGAAACTTTTGCTTAAGTTATATCTTAAGCTCGTTGATCACGTGACTCGTCTCCTATTCATCCGCGAGTCAATATTTGCATGAAAGAAAAGGTACCACGCGCTTTTGAAAATACACTTAGCGGGCCAACTATTATCCCATTTTGCTTAAGTTTTCCAGTACTTGAAGGAAATAGGATACGAGAGAAACTAGAAAGAGACCTGGCACCTCACAACACTTTTCAGTGGGCTACTGCGTACTTCTGACCAATGAGGAATGTTATCGATGACAGCTTTCCTCCGTTTGTGTCTGTTCATTCATAAAGCCCTTTTTAAAGATTTATCTCTTTCTAGTTAAGAGTCTCTTTGTTTTTCTTAAGACAAAGTGTTGGGCATTTATCCTTTTTTTAATCGCCATTCCAGACTGACTTTACTCTTATTGGCCTTGATATTAACTGATAAGCAATTTAATTACCTTGATGGAGTGTTGTCTTAAACTTCTTCTTTGATTCGTCGTCAGGAATTACAGCAGCAAGATCTTCGTCATCCATACTCAAGATATCACTAAGTTGGTTAAATCCGTGACCCTCCAATTGAAGGCAAATCTCTCGCAGTCCGACTGACTCCAAATAATGCCTCATACTACCCTCCAAAGACATTTTTGCGACGAGAAACTAAGATTTTAGCTGTGCTGCGGATTTGAAAAGCTTCCAATGACAACTGCCCTTGACAGCTCAATAAAACTATATCGTACTTGTGATAACAAGTTACTTTAGAAGTTAATTCTGTTTTGTTGTTTTCTAACCTCTTAGCAAATTAATGACACTCAGTTGTCAGCCGATCCACAGGAAACAATGTAGCTCAATTTTTTCATACTCGACCATGCAGAGGACGCTATCATATCGTTACCTAGCAATGCTTTAGTCTCAGTGAAGATGTTTTCTTTATCTATTTAGCTACCAGAACCTCATAAATACTTTACACAAGGTGGGGAAAACTTGTGATTTTTTAACGTATATTTTGAAGGGAGGAGAGTGTATTCTCTGACTGCGTGAGTCAGGCAGGGACATTTGTTGAGTGAATAAAACTTGCAAAAGCTTTGTCGACGGGCTCTTTCATAAATCTATTGAAAGCCGACCCACGTGTGCTGTCACGCGTATTATTTATTGTAGACACCAGCTGAGCAATTACAACCAGTAAACTCCTCCATTTGATGATGGAAGGGTAATACAAATTAATTAAGTATGCTGTAAAAAAATTCTCGCGGTCTCCTCGCCTACGTATCTATATATGAGGTAAAATTCATTCACAAACGCGAATCAAACTTGCCCAATCTTCCTACAAAGTTACGGTCAAAGTGATGTCACGCCCTGAAACATTTTTTGTAAAATTTTACGAGAGCGTCGATGGAAATGTATCCTTCTTCATCTATCTTTCACTCTCAATCTTTTCCATCTTTCACCCTAAGGTCGACTTCGTTTGAATCTATCTACCTCAGTGAAATAAGATTAAAAAGTCTTCTTCTTCTGCAGTTTGTTTTCAAGGAAGCAAACGCGACTTATCATTTCGTCCGACAATGAATTAATTCCATGTCAGAATAATGCCTAAACAAAAAAAAATGGTAACAAAAAAAAATGGTAACAAAAAAGAAGGAAAGAAATTATTCAAAAGCAACAAGGCAATGAGAAAAGATCAGACAAGGTTCCTCTCCTGAAAGGAATCCGAGGTAAAGCTATCATTTTGACAATAGATTTGCCAAGGGATGTCACTTTTGCAGAAGAAATAATCTGCGGTAGAAAATTAAATACGTTCAATTAAATTACATTACAGTTGTATTTTACTTCTTTGACGTAATTGGACCCGAAAACTCTACTTCCTTGATGTGCATCAAGCGCTTTTCACTTCCTCGCCGCGAGCACTTTTCCTCCATAGCAGTCGATTTATTTGCACAATAGATTCACACGTGGGTTAGCACGGAACACGTGTTACTTGCCTAAGCCAAAGGCGACTTTAGATGGCCTCTTTTAGCAAGAGTGCAAAATCCTAAAACACAATTTTGGGAAGCTTGACTGCTAGCGCTCGCAACAAACCCAGGGTTCATTTGGTTTCAGCAAAAATTGAGGAATTAATGAATACTCAAAAGCGTGATTTGCCAGTTTCTAGGTGAAATCTAAATATTTAATGATCCTTCCTCTCAGTCAACCTTTCGAAACCTGTTCAACATATATTAACAACGAATGCCGCCATTTTGAATCTTGCTTAGCAACCTGGCCGCTTACTAGTGACATAAATATCTCATTTCCCTCCTTTTCGTCTCCTGGCGATCTTATTCGAAAATTAGGAGCCGCGTAAAAAAGCCATTCCCGATTGAAAAAATGATTGTTTTCGTAATAACCTGAGCAAAAACTGTTTGTGGACAGTGTGTGTAGTTTCCACCAGATTATAATTGAGTCACTAACTTGCCTCTTCAAAAGATGGACATCTTTTCAAGGCAGTTTGAACAACACTTCCGTTGGACAAGAAAAATTTCTCGAAGAGAAACGGACTTTTATTTGGAAACGAAACTGGTGAAAATTTCGAGGGATAACCTTTCGTGGTATCGCATTTCTTTCGACAAAGATTAACGTCTCGCTTTCGTTTGAGAAAGCAGAATCTTCAGCTGCTCTTTGTTAACCGCCGAAGTGCTCTATGTGCAAGTTTTTTTCTTCATCCCATCTGTCTGAAGCAGATCTACCCAAAACTGTCCTCTTTCACTTTTCTGGTTCCAAACATGTTACTTTGACTTAACTCATTCGCCTCCGACTAAGGGTTTTGAATGATTAACAAACCTATAGTGTCAAACTATACGCTGTTTTTTGTTTGTCTTTTTTTTTAATGATGCTTTATGAACTTAAAATAAATAAACACCTACACAGGAGATCATCATTTGTTTAGGCTTCACTTTATTGTTTACATAGTTCATCAGTCCATTCTAGCGTAGATGGTAACAGACCATGTCATCAACTACTTCGTATAATATATAATGCTGAGTGACAAAAAAAGAAAGAGACTACTTAGAAACAGTAAGATCCAGCTAATTCACAGAACTTAGAGATGACAAAGTGGTGATTGGTATAAAGTCCACGTGAAGATTTTCCATTAAAATGAACGTTTTGTAAACATAATGCTAATTGTGCAGTCTCCAATCAAAGAAGGCAAAGTTTGAAATCTTTAACTTTTTTGATTGTAAAGAATTATGAAGAATTAAATAATTTTTTCGATTTATTTTAAATAACATTTTAAGGGCTAATTTCCTTCTCGGTACTGAGAAAACATTTCGATTTTGATCGACCATTTGTATGTGAAAAACGGAAACACAGTTCTAAAAGTGTTTAAAGACAGGAAAGGAAGCCAGTTTACAGCCATGCCTCATGTAACAAAACTTTTCGCATATCATTTTTATGCTTTATACCAAATGATGAGCTAAGGGAAGGTTTCGCCCCACTGCAAGTTCGCTTCCATTACGACGAGTTCGCCCTTTCAAAGACAACAAGTTCACCTCTAAGTCTTTTCACTCATTGAATTCTCTTTGCGACAAAAAGTTTTTCCTGTCAGATTAAACCATAGAACCGCACGATCATCATCCAAACTTCTTGCTTTGCGACTACATGCAGTTGGGTGACTTGCCTAAAAATCTATAATCTCTGTGCTCCACAATCAACTTAAAAAGGAATCCACGGTTTTTAAACTCAAATGCATAAACACCTGCCTGAATGTTAAGTTTATTTGGTTGGCGTGATGGTCTGGGGCCAAGCAGTTCTTTTCCATTAGGTGGTTAACTCAGTGTGGTGGGGTGGGGCGCGAACTCGTTAGAGGCAAACTTTCAATGAGGCGTAATCTCCAGTTGGTCTTATTGCAGAAAACAGGTATATGCTCTCAACTAATTTGACAAAATTAGCAGCTGTACGTATAAAATGCAAAAAAAAATTCCAGAAACTTGGATCAAACGAGAACTGGAGCTGATTTTAGTTGTCAACAAATGCGTCGCAACTATCTTTCGCTAAAATCTGTCTAACTCAGTTCAGGGCGTGAGAAAAAGAACCCACACAAAACCAAAAAAATCTAGTTTCGCTATTTTCTGTTTGATAGTGATGTTATCAAAGGGAAGTGCACCAGTTAAATGAATTTGTGCCGTAGAACTCGGTGCGTGTTTCTCTCCCGGCTTTTGTCGCCCCAGACCCCTTTCGCGAGTCAAAGAACTTCGATCAATAAAGTCACAACTAGATTGAATAAACACAGAATCTAACTCTTGTCTTAATGTTCCCGCAACTCTAATTTTCGTTTGAGCAAGTTTTAACTATTCTCCAAAAATATTATCATACAGAAAAATAAACGCTGTATTAAAAAAAGAAAAAAAGACTGTATTAAACAGCGCGTAGGAGTGCGTAACTTAAATTCATATGGCTACAATGGTGCTTTTTCTTCTACAAAATCTCTTGCTTTCTATGACTCCCAATAGTATCACGTTTTCGGAAATCTCCGTCAAAAGACACGAACGCCGTCCGACTCTTAACGTCCAATCAGATTGAGGACGAGCCTTGTGTCGGCATTACGTCAATTGGTAAGGTCACGTTACCTAGCAACATACTTTAACTAAGGACGGTCTATGAACATCTTATACCGCATTAAAGACGAGATTCGGCCGAAAAACAAACTTCTTTCCTTGCTCGACGAAAAAAAATATGATACAACAATATTCCTTATTTCCTAAATTTACATTCAGAATTATGATAATTTCCATCATTCGAAAACATTGATATTGCTTGAACACAATGGGTACGAAATACCCTCTAAATAATATATAAATTTTTTATGAAAAAAATAATAACACTAATATTTTCTACTTCTCAAACGTGAGGTTGATTAAGATGAGTGCTTTAGTCGCCTCGAGGTTTCTTCAGAGTGGTGTCATAACGACGAATAAGCTCTGCCTGAAATAAATAGATAAAGGAAACATTGAATTAACTTCGAAACTGTGCTCAATAGACCAAACCCAGGGTGGATAATGCTGTCTAACGGTTAAATCGCTAACCAGTGGAAAAGTGTTACCGAAATGCATTGTGCTCTCCGCTGGATAGAAACGTGTCTAGTGCATAGTGCAATTCGTAATCCGTACTCATTAATCCATGAACTGTGATCCGTAATCCGTGATCCGAAATACGCGATCCGTAATCCGCGATCCGTAATTCGTAACCCTTAAAGAGAAAAATATGTAATTACCTGTCCCACTCGAGCATCCTCTTCTTGAGAAAAGGCAAATCCAACTAGGACAAGAACAACGAAAAACAAAATCAGATCGCGTGAAGTTTGAAACTGACCACTCTTCAAAATGACTTAAAGAACACAACATGAGACCAACAGATCAGAGAGTACGATCCGTTGTCGACTTACAAACTTTTCGGAATTTAAACCAGCACTAAAATAAAACTAGAGATAGATAATAAAATTCCTTACGCGCAGAAGCACCACGGTCTTTCCTGTCCTCAAACGCTTCATTTCGTGACCAGATTTGTCTAAAAAATAGCAATTTCATAACTGAAATATCAAGACAGTTTTAACAAGAGGCAGACCACAGAACACTTTACGGTTTCTGAGAAGTCATGGGACAAAATATGAATTCCTCATTTACCGGTCAAACGTTTAAAGGACAAAGTTACTTACGTGTGTATAGCATGATCTGACATAATTAAACGACTTGGATCTCCCTGCAAAAAAACGGGAAAGAAACGAAAGCTCAGAACAAGAAACGTGCCTGTTCAATTGTTATCAGTAATGTTTCAATATCTATCAAAGGATCTCCCAGAGAATAAGACATTATTCAACACACGAATCACGTGGTGGTTATATCGTGAGCTAACCACTTCTGGAGATCGTAAGTAAGTAAGCTCTGTAGTGCCGGCCTGTACGGAAAATAGCTGAACGCGCGCGACGCACCTACAAAATGACCACGCGAGAGGAGAGCCCAAGTTAGCGCGTGCGAAGTACGTTCTCATTTTCTACTTTGCATCTCTGACACCTCTAAAGCCAATTCAAGTTTCTGTGTAATTCACAGAAGAATAAATAAGTAAAAGATTCTGCACTTACATGCTCAGCTTCAACTTCCTGAATTTCTTCTTTCAGAGTTTTGTAAAATGTTCTTCGAAATCTAAAGACAACAAAAAAAAAAAGGTAACGCATTGGCGGAGACAAGAACAGTTTTCGTCATGGTTGTTGAAAAAAAAAAGAGAAAAAAAAAATGGAGAACAGAGAAATTGCTTACATCTTGTATAAGAAATCCAGCAGCAGTGTTATCATCGGTATGATGAAAAGAGAAATCCAAAACACAATACAAGAGTACAGCATACGATCCTGGAACAAGTAAGTAGTGGACAGACAAGACAATTAGTTTCCATACTTTAAGTCTCGTCTGCAGTTTTCATTTAAATCCTTGCACAAGAGAATTTCGTACAGAGACCAAAAAGAATATTGCTTGAAAGTATTTCCAATATAGAATGATGTGTAATGGCCACCGTAAATAGTTTCTTAAATTGGCCTTTTGAGCGTTTGACCTTATTCAATAGAAACGCTAGCTTTAAAAACTCTCTACAGTCGCTAATTGACATATCAACTCAGTTATACCAAATTAGCTTGTAATACCCCACCCCCAGTTATACCAGATTATCTTGTGATACCCCACCCCTAGTTATACCAAATTATTTTGTGATACCCCCACCCCCACCCCCACCCCTAGTTCTACCAAATTATTTTGTGATACCCCCACCCCCACCCCCCGTTATACCAGATTATGTTGTGATACCCCCACCCCCACCCCTAGTTATACCAAATTATCTTGTGATACCCCCACCCCCACCCCCAACCCCAGTTATACCAAATTATCTTGTAATACCCCACCCCTTACCGACACAGCACTTTAGAAACGTAGCCCTTTTTTCCGCACATTAGATCGTTACATTGGTTGCCGGAAGACAAAAAACAATTCCATACCTGTCCAATCATGTGAGGAGCAATATACAGAGCGATATCAGGAATACAGTAAATTAACAGGAATATGAACCAGCTGGCGATACTGCCCCAAATGGCCACGTGACACAACTGCAGTTTAAGACAACATTTGTAAGAAACGCCAATAAATTCATATCAGAGCAAAATAAAACAAACACAACCAGAAACTGTGCCACTAACCCAGTTCCAAGTGTCCAGTTCCATTCCAGCTTTTATACAAACCGTAATGACGACTAGCTGTTAAGGAGGGAAAAGGAATGACTTGAGTGTCTTTCTGTAAGGCCCAGTAGGTCAACAATATGTCAGTATTGACCGAGTGGGAGGGCCACACAGGAAAATATTTACCTCAAGATCATTAAATTTAGCCACAGTTGATACCAGGTTTGAGAATCGAATCACTGCGGAGCCTTACCATGAAGCTCTCTTTGCTCATAAGACGAGTAACAAACCAAATTAAACTCACCGTGTATACGACATTTCCTAGGAACCATTCGCCTACAATAACTCCATCACTGAAAGGGGCCTCTGAAAGTCCAACAATGCAACATGAGATTGTTTTGAAAGTAGCAGACAGAAATCATTTTCTATGGAAGCAAATTGGTTTTCTTTTTTTTTTTACTTCTAAGAAGCGAGGTAGCATCAGTCAAAACTCACCGTGTCTTAGCATGAAACAGGGAAGATAAAACAGCAGCAAGGAATGGTACACAGACGCAGCGATCCACATCCAGAATACCTACAAAAACACAACAATTGGATCGTTTTGCAGCAAGAAAAAAAATCATGAACAGAAACCGCAATTCTTGATCGCTAAAACTTTAGCCAAATTTCAAGCAAAAGCAGACTTAAATTCACTTTCTTTCGCTGTCACTTCCTCGAAAAAGAAAACCTCTCTCCTACACAAAACCCAAAGACTCTTGGATTTCTCTCATGCAATGACTTTATGAGCATCTACCCGTGCACTTAACGTTGACACGCACTTTCTGTTGCTACTAAGCAACACCTTCAATAAAAACCGCTGGCTGAAAACAATACTCCCTAATGGAACATACGCATAGCAGTCTGTTACCTTAGTATTGTAAATCTCGGCATTCTGTGACTCTTTGTACAGTTTGGGGTATTTGAGCATGCTCTCTGACGTCACTGTCCGATCAAACAAGCCAATGGCTAAAGGGGGAACTGAAGTGAATACCTGAATTGAACAGACAATTAAAAGGCAAATGGTTATAAACATAAAGGAAAAATTCAATTTACAGTCGAAACAAACTTAGAACTACATCGTTTTTTTCTTAGCATCGCTCTGTTCTCGGTGAAGAATACTAACGCCACCTTTTCAATCAAGCAAATCAACTAAATCCAATCGTCATTTGAATTGGCGCATTTTCCCGCGCTTGAGGTCGGGTGCTCGTATTGACGTTGAGTTCTGATGGGCTGACATTTGGTGGCGGAGCAAAGGACGTTTTCAATACGTTTAATCCAAATTAAAGTGTTCGCTGCAGGAAAACCACGTCTGGATTCCAGCAAATAAAAACTTACCACATTGTAAATACCAATACACCATTTGTCAAACAGGATTTGGCCAGAAAATCCATTGTCAAGTGCAAACCATAGCTGTAACAAAAAGATATGGCATATTACGAAAAAATGCCTCAGATAATAGGTGATATCAGCTGAAACCTTTCATACAAAAGGCTTTAAGAATTCACCAAATCTGTCAACGCAACTTCAAGCACGCATGTGCGAGAAACTTCGCGTGCGATGACGTACGTATGACGACACCGCGCTCAAGTTAACACGCGCGGTCATACTCGTACAAAGGCTTGCTGGGGAAAGTTTATGTTTGCTCCAGTATACAAAAACCTGTCATGCGGACACAGAAAGGAGAGAAGAAAGCGTCTGTATTAGAGAATGACATTAAAAGGGGAAATGAATTGAGCCTCGGTAAAAGCGCTTTTGCCTACACTTCACAAATGAGATGAAAAGTCCGCACGATTCCTCTGAGAGATTTAGTCATGAGGACTGGAGAATCAGAGTTAACTGGACTTACCTCAATCACATACAGACAGACATTCTTGTAGAAAGAGTACAGGATGAGTTTGGCTAGTCGTTGGTAACTCCATGCTCCATGGACAAACAACAACTTGTTCAGGTAACGGAACTGAAAAACCAAAGCTCAATCAACATTCGATATGTTATCACTACCAGTGTTAACTACACTAACTTAATGTTGCCTAACCTGTGCAATGGCGTAGTCTGAAGCGCTGGCAGCCTGCAGACCTTCAACTCCACTGATACCTACACCAACATGAGCCGCCTACGGAACAGAATCATATATACTTTTGATAAGACCATTTTAAATAGCGCAGAATATCTTCAGATAACGCTTACTATCGCGCAAAGTTGACCGCAGGAATGTGGACTCACATACAGAATAGAAGACTGCGCATGCATTAACAAGCAGAAACGATTTGCATCAGCCTTTAGGGGGAGGAATCGCGTTACATTTCGTGGCGTTGCGTGACGACCAAGAGTTTGAGCTTGCATGATCTGATGTGAAACGACTTCAATAAGAATTCCCCCCGCAGAACTCCAAATATCGTTTCCTTTCAGCTAAGAGTAGGTCTTGAATCTGTTTGATAGAGCAATTTCCAATTGAGAGACTAAAGCAATTCGGGATTTCATCACGGTACCCTCTCAACCAATCAGATGCAAAACAAACACAAATCGCATCTTGGTCACCTGGGTTTTCCCGCCTGTTTTCACCTCGATTTCTGATTGGCTCCTTTTGATATGTTCCTTTGCATTCATTGGTCGTCGTGATTACTTTGGTTTTGGTTAATCGATACTCAGTCGAAATGCACTTTACCATATTCAAGCATTGATACGGGAAAAAAAATCGGAGAAGTTAAAACTTTTTACCTGAATCATGCCAACATCATTTGCTCCATCGCCAATAGCAAGAGTAATGGCGTCCTTTACGTGCTGCTTGACGAGTCGCACAACTTGAGCTTTCTGAAGAGGAGACACTCTGTGTGTAAAAAAAAAATACATCCTGGTCAAGACGGTTTTTGATTAGTTAATTAAGTCGCGCGAAACACTCATCCAATCAGATGTAAATCAAAACCAAACCGCACGCTGGTCGCACGCGGTTTCCCGCGCTTTCCCGCGCTTGAACCTCGTTACGAGTCTTTACAGTGTTTTCATTGGTTCGTCGTGTCTGTTCTGATTTGAGGTTCATATTGCTTTAGTTTTGCCTTTTAACACTCCAATGAAGAACTACCTCGAAACTAATAATTTAGAAATCGGTTTAGTGTTACAAGAACAAGGAGGGAACATAAAATATTCCTCTAACCTGCAGCAGATGATAGCTTTACAACCGAGAGCCAGCTCCAAGAAACTCAACTTGAGTTCATCTGACAATCCATGCAACAGAGTCTAAAAGCACAGAATATCAAATTGTATGTAAAACGTTACAACGTCGAGTCGAAAACCCAAACGTTTCACAGCTGCCAAAAATTTCCTTGTGAATAAGTTAAAAGAATTTTTAAAGAGAAGTCTGTACTTGAGTCCAGTGTCCCATCCAGCGGAAGCTTATCTCGGTTTCTATGTAACATGGAGCGGCAAGGAGTATTACTATTCCCCACTGGATGGGATGCCAGTCCCTCACAAGGTCCCCCCCCCCCCAGCATTTCATCAGGCTTCCTTAACATTTCGCTGGAACACATTTATACTCTTGGCCCCGGTTGTTCGATGTGTGGATAACCCCATCCGCTGGATAGCGCAGTACGTTTTGTGAACACTTATCCGCTGTATAGTGATTCACCATCGGATAGAGATATCAATCCTTTGAACAACTGGGTTCTGGTTGGAGAGAAACACTGTGAAAGTAAAGTGTTTTGACCAAAAACACAACACAATGACCAGACCGGCCAGGTCTTGAACCCAGACCTCTCGACCTGCAGTCCAGCACGCTAGTCATCAGGCCCCCTCGCCTCCCGCTGGTAGATAAGGAGTGGAAAGAATCATATGAGCACATTTTACCTTGCCAGTTATGATTAGTCCAAGATCATCCTAAGAGAAAAAAAACAGAGCGACTCGTCAATAGCCAATTCCAAACCTTTTAAAAAACAACTTTAAGCTCAAAGAATGTGTCATATCATAACGCACCCTTGTGGCAGACGGTCTCTTACTCGATGAGCCACTCCGACCCACCAATTTGACATGTTCATTCAACCACTCACGCGTGCCCTATAAAAATTGCAAAATATCGAACATTTAATGCATTGTTAACACCTCCTTCCCCCCCACCAGGGGTGGGCTGGTAGTACCCACCCTCTTCGTATTTAGTTCATACTGTAGCAAATGGCGTTCTCTCTCCACACTTTAGAATGATGATAAAAAGATGACATGATTCCTCTGCACATCAAAAACTACTCACATCCAGTGTCTCTTCGCCACAGATTAACAGCTTCATCTCCGGAGTCAGCAAACGGCAAGCGTAACCTGAAAAAAAGGAAAAAAACTGTAAATAGAAGGATAATAAGCAAATACTATTTCTGCAAGTATACTGTTGCTTGACCTTAAAAGGCGTTTTTACACGGCTCTCTTAGCGGGCGCAGACACGTCAAGAAATAAGTAGGGATCCCCAATTTTTATTAATGTAAACTAAACGTACCATGTTATTCAGGGTGGGTACGGACCCGTGTATTTTTTTTTAAGATTTTGTGGCCATAGGCGTTTATCATGGCCCCAAAGCTTGAAAAAAAACTTGAGTCCTTACCACTTTCTTTACTGCCTTAGGTCTCTGCCCTTGTGTTCTCGCTAGATCTAACCTTGAAAGATGTAATACTACTCGAGTGAAAACTCATGAAATCAGTTCTTAAACCCGTGACCCCTTTAAGAGTCTAAAGGAGCCAAGGATTTGGAAAGAACTCATGGCTACTCTTTTTTGTCACCTTATCTAGCTTAAATTCCAAGGAAAATTACGGAGTATGATGATGAATATTACCAATGTTGATGGCAGTTTCTTGCTTGTCACCAGTGAGAACCCAAATCTTAATGTCGGCATCCGCTAGGGCAGCAATGCTTTCTGGGACACCCTAAAAACAAATGAACAAAACAAGATTAAAACGAATACACCCTTTTCTTAATTAAAGGTAATTTTCTCGTCCGTTTCTGTGTTATCAATCCATAAATTTCTGAAAGTGGAGACCTTGGTCACTTGGATTTGAAAGCGTGGTGTTGTTGCTTTCATTTAACGACAACTTCATCGTATAAAAAAAATTACCGCAAAAAGTTAAAGCATAAACAGATTTATCAAGAATAAGAACCGTTTTAAGTAAACTAGTACTTTGTTGCAGAGTAATTCTGAAAGAAGATAAGTTTGTTTTATCAACAAGACGACAATAGGAATTATCTAGGTTGCAACTTTTGGAGGACGTTAGTTTTGAGTGTTCTGTACTTTCGAACCTTGACAGACAACATTAACCTTGAATTTTGATTTAAAAAGACCCATTACTAGAAGTACAGCAACCGATAATTCCTTCCTAGGACGCAGTAAGATCATAAAATAGCCAGTCATATCTTGCGACAAGGCACTGTATTAAAACTTACCTCTTGAAGCTTATCTTCAATGGCCGTGGCGCCTAACAGGAACAAATTCTGTTTAAAAACAAAAATACATTAATAAGATACTTGGTCGTAAGGAAAATTTATCACGAGCAAATTTGACCTAAAAGCCTTCTACTGCAATGACGTAAGCTGTACAGAGATCGGTCCCTGATTGGTCCCTGATTTTGCTTAGGGTTAGAGTGTATCAACCAATCAGAAACATCAGACAGATCAAAGCAGCACAAGGTAACTAGTTTAGAATTCTTACAAGAGAGACGCCCAGTTCACTTTGTCATATGCGTGGAATCGAAGCAAAAAATGTTTGGTCAACCTTCTCGATAAGTTCAGCAGCGTCATCCACGTTCTTTTCTCTGTTTTCCAAGCTTGTGGAAGCTTTGTAATAGATATCACTCCACCGCTGGAACTCCTCAGGCTCCAGCTCAGCCATTGCTATGCAAAGAGTGCGTAGACCTGGGATGGAAAATTACACACAACTAGTCGTTACTAGGATATCAATTTCACAAGTCTCCATAGCGCAAGCGCGTTGAGGCAATAGGCTTATACCATATTTGGAGCAAGAGGCGTAAAAGGGTGTCCTGCATCGAGATGTCTCACAGGAACTACAATTCACTGTATTTCATGTTACACTTAGCATCATATAAATTTTTACCTAAATAGAAGTAAACTTTAAAACTAATTCGGCTGGAAAGCCTGGCGAACGTCGCAGAGGTGAGATAAAACCCAATAGAAACAAGGTTAGTTACCATTGCCCTTCCTTTTTCAAGATTTGCCAAAAAGAGATACGCAAATCCACAAACTTCCAGCTTGAAAGGGTATTTTTAAGTTAAGTATTTTTAACTTTCTGGCAGATGCACAGAAGTATATAGCCTGGCGGGGTAGAAGGTTGTATACTTCTGATTTCAGACAATTTTTTCAGGTTAAGAGACTGTTTTTTTCGGCAGTGACATTCAAGTATTTAAATCTAGCCGTAATAGCTAGGAAAATGCGAAACACAAGCGTAATAGGAAAGAACAGTTTTAAGCCGTCTCTTGCTCAAGAAAAAAAACCACCGCAATACAGGAATTAAATCAGGCAAGAGTGCAATAAATAGTTCAGCTTTTCTTGTGCTTAAGTGGCTAATATTTCATCTGTAATAATGAAAATCTGACTAACAGCGTTTACCGTATGATTGGTCGGAAAAAATCGGAAATGTCCGGGCACACAACGAAGATTTAACCCACTGAATGCTGCAGTTTTTGATCAATTTACCTTCTTTAGCGAAGTCCTCCAAGTGCTCTACAGTGCTATCCATGTACATCTGTTTGTCTTGCAATCTCTCGAAGATTACTGTATCCTTTTAAACAAAATGACACATAAATGTTTCGTAATTAACTAGTAGATATTCAACTTAAATCAAATGAACATCATTATGAAATATAGATATGAATTGAACCTAACAGAAAATCAAGGCTGGAAGAATATTGAAATAAAACTTACAGCTCCCTTGCAGTACAACTTGATTTTTCCTTCTGGAGTTCGAACAATTACAGACATCCTCTTACGAGTGCTAAAGATGAAATAAAATACAACGTTGACTAAGGCAAAAAATTATGTTATCTAATTTTCATTTATTTCATCAGCTTCTCTATTGGCAAATTTAAAACAGTTGATTACAAGCTGCGACCATTTTGGTCACCATGGCGAGTATAAAAAATCTATTTGGCGACTAACATTTCGACAAAAGTCGAAATGAAGAACATTTTCACAAGTGAAGGTCGCCAAAAGGCGACATCTTAAAAATTGAGCTTGGAGCCCGAGCAGAGAAAGGTATTATATGAAGAAGTAATTTGAAGATTGCAAGCTTTTGTTCTCCAGTTCAAAGGAAAATTAGGGTGTATAATTCAGACAACGGATATTACATGTTAGCGAAAGAGGACACTCTATCTTCTCTTGATGTTAGTTGGAGTTTCATATTTCTATCTCCATCCCCGCCAACTTGATAAATACCTCAAATGGCCTCAGTACGATAATTGTGAACATCGTATTCAATAATTTTCTTAAACTGCTGTTCTCCATTCCATTTCCGTCGCCTAAATCGTCAATCGTGCGACAAGAATTGATCAACGATCCATGAATTCATTCTAACAATGTCAGACACTTACAAAGTTTTTAAAAGATTCACATTTACCTGTTAAATTCTAACACATTTAGGACTTCATACACCTCTTCCTGGCCCATCTGTGTCAAGAAGAAAACACAAGTTACAGCTATAATCGCAATTGTAACGCCCAGGATTGAAGCAGTGTGAAGAAACTATATCTGGTAATATAAGGGCTTACTGTCAATGGTTTTAACTCATCCCAGGAATGGGGGAAAGGGCGGGTGCTCTAATGTTAAAGATGGCAGCTATAATCGAAATTGTAACGCTTAGGATCGAAGCAGTGTGAAGAAACTACATCTAATAATATAAAGGCTTCATGACAATGGGTTGTACCTCATTCCAAGAAGGGTGGTACTCCAATGCTGAGGCCATAATTAGCCTAGTAGGTATATACGCCGCTAAAGGGTGTGGCTTTTGACCCTTTGGGAAGGACATTGGGTCAGGTTTTGAATACTCTTTCCAAACGCGGCCTAGACTTAAGAATGCCCTTTGGCGACGCAATGTTTTTCACATTCGTCAGGTCTGAAACCATTCATTGTGATCTAAAATAAGGGATGGGTTTCTAGAGCCATGCCGTGCATCCGTTCAGGAATTTTTCAAGAACGCTCTCCTCAGAGAATACATTCGTAGTCAGCTATAGTGCCTCAGAGAATACATTGGTAGTCTGTTATAGTGCCTTACGTACCGCGTTGATAATCACTGATGTAGGAGTCCTGACGTTGAACGAGAAGCCTAGTTTCTTAGCTCCCTTCACCAGAGCACCTTCATCTGAAAATATAAAGAACTCAATTTTAAATCGAGACCAAACAAAAATAAATTCTGGTTAACTCTGTTACGTTTAATGTAAAAGTCTCTAATCAACTGACTATCCTTTCTTAATCAGTGTTTCTATCTGATCCTCATCATCGGCTATACTCAACCGACCGTCGCCAAAAATCTACTGATAGCCTGCAGATGATCCATGGACAATAACAGAAGTTCGACAAACAACAAAATGTCGCATAACGAATCAATGCATGCACTAGAAACTGGCCTGACAAAATGTCATTAATTTGGCTCAAAACTCTGTCAGAAAGTGTTATTCAAATCCACATTGAATAAAATGATTACACGCTTCATTTGAGGTGACTCAGTGTAAAGCAGAATTCGCTGTACCTGGAGAGGCGGCTTGATAAACAATCTTATCAGGATTTCCTGGTTCTCTTTCCGGAACAACTGTATGGCATACGGCTAATAACGTCAAAAACTCTCGAATCACTGAAGCTGTCGGCTATAAAAATACAATTAATACAACCTTGAAAATTGTTAGTAGAGCTTCATCTGAATGCGCATAGAAAAGTCCGCTTTTTCGATATTTATTAAGGTGCCATCACAAAAACATTTGACTCAGAGTGCATTTGGTTCGCTATTCGTAAAACTAAAACTAATTTCACACGAGTCAGTGGGAATTCGAAGTTAATCCTTTAACTCCCAGAAGTGATTAACATGAAACTTCTCCTTATAATATATATACATTATTAAGCACACAGGTAACGAGAATACTCAGACTTATCATATCATAGTTGTCATCTTGATCTAACACCGAATTCTCGTCACTAATTTACTAGGAAAAGTGTAACCGCTAGAGAGGAGAATTAACAATCAGATCTTGGGAATTAAGGGGTTAAAACAAGGAGACTCTATCGTGATTGGTTGTAGTCTTGTGGATGATTGGTTGAGCGCTCTGCATCAATCACAGCGCGAAGTTAAGCAAAAATCACGGATCACTTTCAATCATGAATTGGAAACTACTAAAGGACTCCGCTACCTCGCATTTGGTTAACTCGAACCCCCCGTAACTCGAACAATATCCGATTTCCCTTGAGCTCATGTCTTCAGTCATTTACTATCAGCTAACTCTAATCCCCGCTAACATTTTTTGTTTCCCTTGGGGGTTTGAGTTAGCTGAGTTAAATTGTACATCAGTTATGTGATAATTAACTATGTAGCTGCTCAATATACTTACATGGTGTTCTCTAAGATTATCTAACAGAGCTGGATCCATGAACGTTTCTCTTCCACCACTGACATGAACAAAGAAAACAAAACATCAAGTATATGACAGAGAACACACCGATTTTACTTCCTAAAGTCTGTACCTTGTCATCCATAGCAACAGAGATCGGAGTTTCCAATCCCCATAATTGTATGGCTTCCAGCTACTCCCCCAAAAATGACCCGAATCGATCGTTCACACATTTATTTGCCGCATTTTGTTCTAAACTTCGGTGTTAAGGCTAAAAATCACTTACTGTTCAGCGGAACATTTTAAGTCATATCTTTCCTAAGAGGTCGATCTCGGGCAAAGATTTCTTGCCATCGCGGCTTTCATTGTTGGTATTCAACAGCATGCATTGCTGATAATCTATCATTTTTTACCTGTAACTGATTCCTCCAATGGAACATTTCTTAAACTCCATCACGTTTCTTGTTAGCGTGCCTGTCTTGTCTGAGAAAATGTACTTCACCTGTGTAATACGAGAATAAAAAGTACCTCAAACTCAAACGACGACTTGAAACTAACTCAGTCAGGTTTGTGCCTCGGTGACAATATAGGGCCTTCATGCTGTAAGCCTTCGTCAGGACTGCCAGTCATTGGAGCGTTTTTTAAGTCTAACGAAACGATAGCAGGGGAGTATGCAGTATTTTCAAGAAGCGGAGTTCTGAACTGTCATCTTTCGTACCTCCTGCACAAGCTCAACATCTTTCAGCGTTTGTTAAGGACCCATATTATCATATTAAGAAAAAGTTTCCATGTTCAGTAGCAGATCACAGAAAACGTCAAAGCCTTTGACGGCCTGATAAGAACAATGCGCCTGGTGTGTCACTGCTGTTCTCACCACATTTCTACATCTTCTGTGATCTATTATTGTGCAGACCCACGGCAACATGGATTCTTTTTTATTTTATATAATAAAGAAGCAAAAGTTTTGATGGTAACGTCGTCTATGTGTCTCCTCCAACAACTTAACATATTAAAATAATTCAGCTTATTATATAATTGCCAATCGACAAGCTAAGAAAAAGAGCTAACGCTCGAAACGTCAGCTTTAAAACTCTTTGCGGTGGCCAATTTACGTTATCAACTCCAGTTGATCATACAAATTACCCTGTTATACTCTCCCACCAACGCAGCACAACGGTTTCTTTAGAAACTTACCCCCTTTAAGCTCTTCAAATAACCTATCACCCTGTGACGATATTTCAAGTACATGTATGGTTCCTAGGAATACATATCAGGTGTCAATAAGAACAAACCTGCCCTAACTCTTCGTTTAGATTGGAAGTTCTTGCCATTGCTGGTGTATCTGTCTCATCATAGTACATGTCAATATCCTGTGACAAAAGAAATGAACAGTTCAATTGAACATCTCCGAAGAAGGAACTAAGGTGACGTGTTGTGTCAGTTTACATGATATGTATCTTGTTTGGAGACACTTCGATGTACGCACTTGTTCACTAACTTATCGAGCTGTGTTTGGATGCGTGGCCGTTTAGATAGTGCATATAATGCAGCTGATAGCCTTGTATCTTTTAGAGCAAGAAAAAATGAATTAAAAGCAAAAGTACATACTAGATTTATGAAGATGGCTTGTATGAACTTCACAACCTGTATGAACCAAAAAAATATTAAGTTAAAACAATTTGTGACCGTGTAGCAGAGTAACATTCAGTAATCGGTTATTGGGAAGAAAACTTCCCGAAAAAACCCGTCGGCCGTCAGTTAGCCAAAAGTTTTCAGCCTAAGTGTCGGCCACCAAGTGGCCAACAAAGTGCTGACAGTCGGTAATCTGTCGGTAATCAGTCGGTGATTCGTCGGTAAGTTGTCGGTGACAATAGCACCGTAAAACCGTATTACCTAATAATGAAAAATGCTGTTTTTTATCATTGGACTGTACCTCAAGTGTAACTGTCAAGCTGATAGGGATCAGGTTATTGAACAGAATGATGAACGTCAAGAAGGACATGCCAAGATTCTGGGCTTTTTTACCTAGAAAAACAAGTTTTTGTCATGCTGAGGAAAATGTTTTTTTAGCGATCAGAAAGCAAAGAAAGAAAGATCGTCTGCAGTTTATCCCAGTCTCTGTTGAACAAAACCACTCATGATACTGCTACACCCCCCTACATTGTGTCCACGTGTACCCAGATGTGGGCACGTGTTAGTGGATTACCACTGTACACAGTCACATGGTGTTAGGAATTTTGCAAGTGTTTATTGCCTTTATTTTGCTCGTAACCCTTTACACCCGAACATCATAATGCATATTCTCCATACTGTTCCCCATACATTTCCTTAGGTGCTAACAAGGAGAATTTGTTAAACAACCAGAGGCTTCTTTAGTTGGTGACCATTTCCATTGTGCTCATGACCTTAATGTATGATCCAGAGGTGATATCATAGGGAAAAATGAGATGCTAGTCACTGTTAGGGGTTAAAGGGTTAACAGTTGGCCTGGTGGAATTTTTTGGTATTTTACCTCAGTTGGCCTGGTGGAATTTTTTGGTATTTTACCTCCCAGCTTTTCATCAGGTTTCTCTAACAACCTCCACCCCCCACCCCACCCCAATTCACCTACTCTTTTGCCAGCGTCACTATTTGAGCCCTCTATCTACATGACCTTCTGATTACATACTATCATGCTTTATTTACCAGAATATCCCAGGTACCAATCAGTGTCCCGATGGTTATCTGAAAAATAAAGGTTCACAAATATTGAATTTTACTGACCAGTGTACAACGTAAGTGAGACAAGTGCACAATCTGTGTGTGAAGAAATTTTAACCACAAGGAGACCAGAGGGTAAAAAAATGTAAACTCTCTGAATCCAGCTAGAGCTTATCCAGGTTTCTGCAGCATGAATCCACTGAGAGTTCTGCTATCCCCACCCCACCCCCCAACCTTGATGGGATGCCAGTCCATCACAGATTACCCGTCAGTATTCCATCAGGCATCCCTAACAGTTTACTACTCCAAGGTGAAGGAACTCTCTGAGAGTGAGGTGTCTTGACAAAGAACACAACACAATGACCCCACCAGGTCTGAACCCAGTCTTCTTGTCTAGAGTCCATTGTGCTATCTGTTTGGCCAAAGCCTCTCCCAGAAGTTCAAAGGAAAGCCTGTGTAAATTTGATCACAAACTAATAAAGAACAGTGACAACAGCAATGTGACAAATGCACCAACCTGTCCAAATCTTAAACCCAATAGTACTGCAAAGAGCCAGGACAAGAAGCAGCCCAAACAAGAATAAGATTTGAATGTTGGTAGTGTGATCTACATTTGACCTCTTGATGGGAGCAGCTGTGGAGTTCTGAAAAACAAGAGAAAAATTGCCATGCATCAGGAATGCACCTTTAAAAAAAAATTCAATCAAGATTCTTAAAAACTGTATCACAGAATCATCAACTCATGGTGTACATCAGAGATATCACCAAATTGTGAGTAACAAGAACTGCTTAATATTTTACTTTAACAATAATTTAATTTCTTCCATTTTTGTTTAGCAATAAAGCTACCAAAATATTATCATAAATCGTCAGATGTACAATACAGCTATGTGTGTGCTTTTGTCAAGACACAACACAGAAAAATCCCTGTTCAAAGGCTGCAAAAAATGGCATACACAGTGCCAGCCTTGTGAGACACAAGAATAAAGGAGGAAATAGATAGACCAGCAGTCACAAGATAACATGCTTGCTGACTGAGTTAGGTTGGGCTAGACAGGAATACATTTGGCTCTCTGTCAAGAAGTATGGACCTCAGTGCACTTGGCCCATATATCATGACCATGAGCCAAATATTTTCCAGTGAGTCCAGTCCCCTCACTCAATCAATAATGACATATTAATGACATCACCTGCATAAGTTTGGAGTCATGTCCGGTATAGACAACTAGACCTAAAAAGATCACAAGTAATGGGTTATTGTAATAATAACAATAACATTTTATAAACAGACTGTAATAAATAAAAATAAATATAATCAAATAAAATAATATCATTAATTTTTCTTCTGACTTTTCCAACTCTTTTTTAAGATCATAAGAAGGTAACTGATAATGTTGATTAATTCTTGCTTGCCTTTTTCATTTTAGCTTTGTGCTTTTTTCTTTGACAATTTCACTGCAATTAGGTATAACTCAATTGTTCAGAACTCACCAAATACCCACTGTGTGTTCCTTAAATTTGCTCCTCTTAGCAAGATTTGCTCTGGACCAACTGGTACTGATCTAAAAAAAAAAAAAAAAGGTGACATTTATTAATTACCACTTCCATTTTGAGATTATCATCACCCCAAATCATGAAATTAAGTCTCACTAAGAAAAATACTTCCTTTGAGTAAATTTGCGCCTTAAAAGACAAATTAAAAACAAAAGGGGCAGCCTATCTTGATGCACACTCATGATAGGTTATATACAACATCAACTAATATAGTTAGTTATAAATAGAACAAAGTTTCTAATCAGTATATTTACTTTTGAGTTTGAAGAGTGATATTTCCAACAAAGTCGTAAAGTCGATTATTTGGTCCTTCACACTCCACACGTCCCTAACGACAAATTTGTCACTGTTAAACACATTCATTCATTTCTCAAAAGTAAAATCAGACACCAACATTTTGCACCACAAATCCACATACTTGCATACAACGAATCTCTAGAAGTGATGTCATTTTTGCAGTAAGGGGTAAGGCCTGTACAAAAAATGTAATAAAGTTTGCTATCAGTTAGAAAATGTTTCATGTACAGGTGATGTTTTAATATTAAAATATCTGTAATGAGCAGATCTGCTACTAACAAAACTTGAAGCACAAATTCCTTATTAGAATTCATAAATTATTAATCTATCAAATATATATCATTTTATCTGATTACAAATCATATTGCCTGATTAATAATAATTAGTAATGGGATCATTTGCTAACCTGTCTGATTTTTAAGTTAGTCTCTCCATCAAGATTTGATGTTTCTATGTAACACATTCCCATTGGCTCACTGCAAAGGAAAGGAATCAAAACAATGCACCAAACAACACTTGTGATAATGTATCATTCTATTTCCATAAAAGAATGAAAGCCTCAAGCATCAAAGGGCTAGCTGACTCACTGATTGCAACTGACTGATGGACCAACAGACGGACGGACGGACAAATTGACTGACTGACTAACTGGCTGGCTGACTGAACGACTGCCGACAGATTGACTGACAGACAGACATGCTGATTGACTGACCTACAAATGTTTACATCAAATTATTAACAAATAAAAGCTGGTAGTTCCCTTCAGTTAACCAAACAAAAAAAACTTCACCTTGATGAAACTAGTATAAGGTCTGCTGGAAAAAATTGTCCATTGACAACCTTCACTATATCCCCAACTTGAACCTGAAAAAAAATAACAAGATTCTCATTTAACAAAAAGCAAGTGAATACTCTGATACTAACCTGTAGTCATTTACAGTGTCTATGGTGTAACTCTTACCTCCGTCCATAGTAACGACTGCATGGTATTATCTCTAAGAACTAGAAGACAAAAAATTGAGTGCATCACAATAAAGTTGGCTAGCTTTGTGCAAGGCAATCAAAGAAGGAAGATGCTGTAAATTAACTAGTGTTCAAAAAAATGGGAAAAAATCAGGAGTAACCCATGATGAATCAAGCTCCAGATTAACATTTGGCAGTCAAGTGTCTTGCATACTTTAAGAATTGGAACATGTAATACTTGTAGGTATGAGGATCTATTCCTAATACAATATACTTGTAAAAAAATTAGGACTACTTTTGTCAATGTTAAGTATGGTACATGTTGATGAAGCTGTCAAATTTCTTTTTGAATTAATAGTTACCTTTAACCCTACGATTGTTAACCTGGTCATCTGCTTGATGCCTTTTCTGTGAGAAAAATAATTATTGATCACGTTAAAAAAAACCTACCCTTCATCCAATTTTATATATATTAAAAAAAGCAACTTACATAGTCTTCTATGATCTCTTTTACAGCAGAGCAAGAAAGAACGAAGAGAAGAGGAACAGCTGTGGTATAACGCCCAGTTGGAGACACATCATCTATTTGCTGAAACCATTTAATATCAAAATCAATTTATTTTATTTGGAGAAGAAAATAATTTCCCATGGTCTTATATTTCTATTTCAATTCAATCACTTGGCCCAAGGATGGAGAATACTTAATGAAAAGATAAACACCATGAATGCAAAGTGAAGATCATCATATTTACTCCTAGAAATAACTATTGGTAATTACTCAATCTATTTATCAAATGAATGTTACATTTTTCTAGGAATAAAGAGGACCAGGCTGTGTAAGTTACAGAGTAAAGGTAGTTAAGATCTTTCACCTAGCTTTGAACAAAACACATGAGTTGTGATAATTGTGCTGACATTCATTAAAACTTTTTTCAGACACCCACCCCATGTTTATTTGGTGCCTAAGTTGTAATTGAGTATAGAATGTACAAAATCTACTGCCCTATAGTAAAAGTTTTTACTTTCACTCACCTGCAAAAGTGCAATAAACAAGAAGAAAACATTGGAATATCGACTAAACTGTTCAAGGAGAAACTTGGGAAGAAATGTCAAGAAGTTGTACTTGGCAGTGCTGTAAAATGAAAATATATATTGCTGGTGATAATAAAATACAACAAAATATTGTCCATGGTCATTGAATAAAGAGATTGTTTGTTTTGTCATGAAAATGGAAGACCTAAAGAAAATTCTCAATGTTTTCATAAATTAGCCCTCAAGGTCAGGGTCAAACGTTCCAACTGGATATACCAGTAAGTATAATCTGTGTTCCGTCATTGTCTTTCATAATATTTTCTTTCATTCTCCTTTGCTGACATTGATATATGTAAATTGCTTTCTACATTTCTTAGAGTTCAATGAATGTACTTTGGCACAAGCTCTCCTTTTCCTTTCTTTTCTTCATTGGCAACTAAACTTTTTTTTTTTTCTTCTGGCAGGCATTTATGATTTAAGGTTGCCAAACGGTGGCTTTAAGAAAGGTTGGATTTTGAGTAGTTACTACTTTCAGGATTTCCTAACAGCATGAATACAAGTATATTTGTACATGAGTAAATTTTTCAAAGACAAAAAAATTACACAAGCCCATAGGGCAAACGCAATTTGAAGTCTTTGAAAAATTTACAAGTACTTATTACACCAAACCGCACTTGAAATTATATTATTTTGTTAATAATGTACATGAAAAATTAAAACATCACAGAAAGTCAAGAGAGGCAAACTTTTGAAAGTGTGTGTGTACTAATTTGTAACTTTGCACTTCTATTACGACTTTGCACTTGTGTAACATGAGAATAAACTTGTTTTCAGCCAATCACAAGCATGTAATTTTTTCAAGCACATTATTAGGCATGAAACATGCAAGATCTTTGTTTTTAGTAGCAAACCAATAAAATATTAATGATGAAATCAATAGATAACTAAAAAAATAAACAATTCAATTATTAATCAATAATATATTATAATTCTGATACGATTCAACTTTTAAATTCATTTGTAATTTCAGTTTAGTTCACAACTGTCTCACACAATGAACCTCAGCTTGATAATAAACAAAACCATGCAATTTCATGCATTTATTATAATTATTGTATATATTTAAGAAACAAACCTAATCTTGTTGTTGCAAAACTGCTGAGTTTGTGGTTTATTAATGATGATAACTCTCTCTGCTTCTGAACCATCAGTAACATCATTTTTAAGAGATCCATAATTATCTGTAAAAATAGACAAAAATGTGAATAATTTAATGAGAAACAATCTGAATAATCACGACTCTAATTAAATACTAATAAGTGCTGCTGACCAACAATTCTGTGTGACCACACAATTCATTGTTTTGAAATCAAGCACAAAATGGGACTCGTAATTTTTGGGCATTAGAGAGGTTTCAGTAAGTTTTGAAGTAAAAAGGCAAAACCTGCTGAGTAGGCAGCTAATGAAAGTTTGTTTTTTACTCTTAACTAATGTTACTAATTTCAGAGGAACTAGGAAGCAATTGCACTCAGCATATATCTACTTCAGATCTCACTGAATCTCTTACTGCATCTCTTACTGAAACCCTAAATAATTTAAATACCAATAGAATACATTACCTGTTAAATTAACAGAGAACAGAATTTGTGTTATATACATTTGTGTACTGTTGTCACAGTTTTTAGGAGTAACAATGTTGTAATAAAAGCTGCATTTTGTTTGGAAAATCAAAATTGAAAGAGAGGTAACAACTCTTTCATAAACACTGCTCATAACAGTTTACCTTAAAAAAAATTAAATCAAAAGAATTTCACTCTGGTCGATCTTTTCTCACTTTGTGGGGAAAAAATAAAAGCTACATGGAGGAAATACGTTTTCATTTATTTACATAGTAAATATAAAAAAATTCTAACCAAAACTTCACTATTACCTATAACTGTTATAAAATTCAATTATTTTTCAGTGACTATTTATTAGGCCAGCAGTTTTGATAAATTTTCTTTTACCACACAAATGTTTCAAACATCTTACCAGAGGCAGCAAGTTAAAAAATATAAATTTTCAGACAAAGGAAAACTACCCACACAAAAACAAACTTTGCTTACACAAGTTTACTTTTGACTTAACACTTAATGATCAGGGCTCAGAGAGAAAACAAGAAAATGTTAAGTCATAAATCTGGTTGGAATTATCATTTTCTCAGGCTAACGACACTTAGGTGGAAATGGCCATGAATGTCAGCATTTAATCATTTAAATTAAGGTACATGGACATAAGTATAGACAGAAAACTTAATTTGAATGCATAAAATTCTTAGATGAATAAATAAAAAAAAGAAGTTATTTAAATAAGAAAAAAGCTTCTTCCCTACTCCATGATTTTTATAATCACAAATATAAAATCATTTACAATGCAGCAAAGAAAGTCTGAAATCAAAATCAAATGGTTATGCAAAAAATTACCTTTTAAATTAAATCACACATCAATGCTAAGTTTAAATATTATAATTTTTCAATTTCTCCATATTTCAGAGCAATAAGCTCTTTTTTATCCCTTTGATCAACATTTCTTTAAGACCTTGTGGAATAAAATTATTGATGGAAGAAGAGTCATGTGTATAGGACCACACTTTTTCAAAAACAACAAACCAATATTGTAAATAATTTGGGTGGAGAGTCTTCACAGTTTTAAAAATTTACAACAAATTAAATTTCTTTTAATGCTATAAAATATCCATGACAACTGATGTCAAACTGACCCCCTGAATTTTAATATGAAACAAATGTTGTTTTAGTGGAAGCTAATGAAACAGAAAGCTAAAGAAAGCTGAACACAATACTAGGCTCAATACCACAGACTAAGTTGACATAAAATACAATGTAGGAAAAAAAGCCTTGGTATTTAATTTACTGAAATTGTTGCAGTAAGCTATGTAAAGTTAATGTCTTGACCACATGTTGATTGATTTTACTGTGTCTGCATTTCCTGACCAAACAGCACATCTACCATGAGGTTTTATAAACAAATAATTTATTATGATTTAAAACATGAAATAATTCTGTTATGATCAAAACCAACAGTTTTGAAAAGAAAAATCAAAAGAAGAACTTTAATTAAGCCAGATCACAAATTGGGCTGATAGATGACTTTGTAAGTAATCTAGCAATTCAATACCTGTCACTGTCTGAATTTCATTTCAAGAAAATTGCATCTTGAATATTAATTTAACCTAAAATATTAAATAAAAGTGGTGAAATAATAAACTTGTACACGGCAGCAAAAAAGTGTTACCCATGACAGGAAGTGACCCTCAGGCCAATGGTATCTTGCATGATTTTAGTACTGGCACTCCAAAACCAACATCATTTTTTACAAAGGAGGCCTAAACTCAAACAACTTCCTCTCCAATCTCCATCTAAATTTCACCCTTGGTAAAACAATACTCAACAACTTGAATCTACCCATACCTAATAAGTTGTTTTGTTCCTACTCTGAACAGTTTTTAATTTAAACTATGACTATAATTGTGTAACAGGTCAAGACAAGAAATTGAGAATTATTTCTAAGCAGTCATGTATCTATTTGGCATTTTTCAAAGCATGTCAAGTCAGGTTCCACTGGTTCAGTATCATTCAATTACAAAGCAATGTATCTTTATAAAGCTTTGTTGCCTGTTAAATCCTTCCTCAAAATGTTTCATTTTCACTCAACCATTTTCTATACTGCAAATAAATTCAATTACCTACAGAAAGTAACAAAACTTTATTTATCTGCCAATTTTTGCTGCCTACTCCAAATAATTCAAACTCCTGATAACTTGAGCCTCTTTCAGTTCCCAACCAAAGCTTTACTTAGCCTTGGTAGGCTAAGATCAAATGACACAGAAAGACTTTCTTACAACTGTGACATTGGTTTTTCGATGGGTGCCTCAACACCACTTAAATCAGGATAACTCTAAAAACAAGCTTAATGTTGTTTTTTTTTACCAAACACAATTTAGAGGTTTATTTTATCAGAAATAATATTTCACCAGAAGGGGAAAAAAACTAAAGCCCTATTTTGAAGGAGAAAGTGTTAAGGAAGAGTTTAAAAAATATATATGTGCATTAAGATGTCTAAGCTTCTAAATGTTTAGGATAACAAATGAAGCAGAACCAGCATCAGTGTTATAAGACTGTAAATGTTCAAAATGTGAAATTATATATGTACCAGGAGATAAAACGATTGGAGACCGCGTTATAAACGGAGGCCTACTGTTTTTAAACATGCTTACAGCTGATGAATTTTTCTTTGGCCTCGGTTCGTTACACCTGTCGTGAACTCGACTCAAAAGAAGTTATATCAGTTTATTTTCATCCAAAATCAATTTGTCACTTCTGCTTCAAAACGAAACATAGCTGGGTCGAGCACTCACGGAAAAAATACTAAATGTTCTTATCAACCAAGGGGTTTGGAGGCCTTTGGCAGATTTGAAATCAATGCAAATGATTTTATATAAATCCAACAATAATAGATTTTCTTCAAACGAGAAACCTATCGAATGATACTGAGATATATCAAAGGTAAAGCATTTTCAAGACCTGAAAACGCGTATAGGCAATTCAATTCCTAGAAAGAATATCAATTAACACGATTTATATTCGAGTTTGACAAGGGTGTTTCATGTTTTAACTTAAATTTCCCCATTTTCAATTTCAACGAATTGTATACCAACCATTATTTCCATCGTTTTTCGAACCTGACGCCGTCAATTTGAAACCTTCTGCCATACTTCGACGACCAGATCACTAACACCCCTGGCCAGCATAAAGATTTTCAACTGAGAGAAACATTTCCTCAAAAAAACAAATACACATTTGTTCTCCTCCAGAATCCACCTAAAATTCAGAGCTTGACAGAGACGCGCTTGCGCATTGTGGGCTATTTTCAGCTGTTCGCGTTCTTCCGGTTTTGAGAAGATCACCCGACGATTTTGTGTTTATGTTGCTCCAGGTGTTTTTAAATGGCTTCAAATGTTCGATAAGATCACAGGAAAAGCTAAGTAACCCGCTTCAAACGTAAAGGCAAGACCTTAGAAGACATCACCGGCGAAAGAAAACAGAAACTGCAACCGCGATCAAATGGCCTTTGGAAAACAATTTATTTAAAATAATTCAAACCTTTTTGCTATCGATCGGACAGGAATGCACTTAATTTGTTTTTAAATGGTTGAAACTGATCAAATATATTGATATAGTATAAACGTTTTCTCAATTCTACTTGTGAACTCTAAACAAATGAAGGACAAGCCGTCATTGAACCATCATTTTGTCTGATCCTGCTCCACTTCCATCGAGGTCGTTGATATCCAGCTCTCGAAAGCGAAATCACAACACTTACCTGCAGCGCTGGTTTCCGAACTATCTAAGACGTCAATCAGCTCCGATGAACTTCTCTTGACTACAGGTCTGTAGGATGCTTTAGAAGCCATGTTTCAGTTTAAGGAAAAGCTCGATCGCTTACATGTTGCCCGCCAAAGAAGCAACGAAGTGAAATGTGCCCAGACCTCGCTCATATTAGGCCGGAAGATACGTTTCCGGTGTCTTCGGCTGCCAAGTATCTTAAGAGCGGAGTGATGGAGCATGGAAAATTTGAATTACGGCCAAATTTATCTCTTCATTTCAGAATACAGCATGATTACAGTATACCAAAAGTTATATTTTTCGGTATCCAAGCAGGTTTGGTTTAGACTCCTCTATACACCTGCCGAAACAGTGTTTATCTGAAGGAAACAAGAATATAAATTTACGGAAATATAAATCACTTAATCTCACTGTTTGTCATCTGGATCAACTTCATTTGCATTGACCTTCAATGTGCCATGGACATGGATTAGAAGGGTGCAGTGTGTGCTGGGAACTGGGTAAGAGGGAGGGGGGGTCCAAACTTTGGCTTTTCTTTTCAATCTCAAATTTCATTTTCAGTTTTCCAGTTAGAAAAACTGATAGATTGAAAAAAAATCTTTGCCACCTACATTCACCTAGAACTTGTACCAGAGCTATCTCCAAACATCTCCCACAACTGACCATCCTCACAAAAATTTCATTATTTATCATCATAGGTTTATATATATTCAAATTCACTCTGATTGTTTTAGTGCAGTGAGTGGCTGTAAAACTGAAAATAGAGTGTTAGTTTTCTGTGTTAGTCCTTTCACCCCTAAGACTGACAAGCATCTAATTTATCCTTACAGTATAACCCCTAAATCAAACCAAAACATTCAGGTCATGAGAATTTACTTCTAAGTCAAACATTAAAGTCATGAGAACAAAGTTAATGATCACCACCAAAAACCTCTTGATTGTTAAAAAAAGCATGTTACTATTCTTACCCTAAACTCTGTGACTTATGGTTAACATGCATATTCCTTTTAAGTACCTACATTATGGAACACTCTCCCCAATTCTCTAAGTACTTTTTTGGTTTTGTCTTTCAAAGCTGCCATCTTTCAAAAATTTTTATTTCAGAAGTTCTTTCATAAGCTATGAGAGTTAGTTTATATGTTTTTACTTGTTTAGTGTTAAAGTTACTTTGTGATGGAGATTGATTTCATAGGTGACATGTAAGTGCAAATTTTGAGGCTTGAAATGCGCACATAAAAACATTGTGGTTATTATCATTATTGTCAACACCACAGGAAATGTTAATGCATAGAGAACAGTAGGGAGAAAATGCACACTAATCACATAAGGGTTCAGTCCTTGACAGTGTATAGTTTACTGCACTGTATCATAAGTATGAAAAAATCTTACTGGACATGCTTTGTAATTTAAATTAACAAACACATTATTTTTCTAACTACAACAAAAATGCACTCACTACTATAATTTTTATTCAAAAAGAAACTTATTACAAAGACATTTTGAATGTAACTTTGATAATGGTTACTATCCATGGGACTGTGATAAAGGAATGAAACATTCAACTCCTATCTAGAACTTTGCCATGATAAACTCCAAATCTTGGAGTGTACTGCTACTTTAACACTAGCTTGTAACTGTAACAGCATCAAAGTCTTAAACTGACAGACTGATGAGTCTTGTGTCATTAGAGCCTTGTACTAAGGTGACTGGTTGTGATATGTAACTTAAAATAATTTATTTTCACACAAATTTATGAGAGCAACTGATGTAGGACACATTCTGAATACAAGGAAATCTTATTGACGTAATTTATTAAATTTGAGTTAATATTGAAAATAAATTATGTAATCAACAGCTGTTAACAGAGCCCCAAGCTAAGTGCTATTCTGTTTCTTCTTAGCAATCTTGAGTCAAAATAGCTGGCAGAACAATATTTAGGTCCCCCCATGGGAGAAAAAGAAATAAAATATGTGCATGTCGGATGATGCAATACACAAAAAAACAGGTTTTTTGTTTAAAACACACCTTAGCTGTGTCAGAGGTTTATGTGCCACCTTAAAAAAAATGACAGAGTATTCACACTACTGTATTTAATGTCTATCTTACTTTCACATTACACTAGAATCACACAGTAATTCAGGAATTCAAATTTGAGACTTGAGCAGCAGATTTACATGCCTAAGTATTTTTCTCTTTGAAGTAGAGAGATCAAATTGGTCACGGCTTGGAGCACTGATTAACATTGTAAGTTTGGTAACACACTGATGGAAAACCTAACTCTACATGAGGAAAAAAGGTGAAATTCCCCATGTTAAGAAAATTTGTCACCAATTTTTTTCTGAAATCAACAACACTAGGGTAACAATTAAACCTTAATTAGCTTCCTACTTTGCAATTTTTGACATTCAGCTCAAAACTTCATGAAACCCCTGAAGAGAATGCTAGAATTATGATTCAGCACGATATCAATCTGCATTGATCTCCTCAACGTTTACCTATACATATCTACAACACCAGGACCACTCTAATGTATTTACACATTAACATATTTGTTTACATCATCTTTCCCACTCCAAGTTCAAATGAAATTCTATACAGAGATTACAGCAAATGGGAGATCATCTGTCTTCAGTTACTGTCTGGTTTTTGGTCTAACTTGCTCTTGTGGGTTTTGATCATGTAGATAAAATAAGTAACTGTCTCCTTTTCAGGGCAGGGAATCTGTTTGAAGTGTCTCTGGATGGTCTTAAAACAATAAAAACAAAGCTTCATGTAAGAGATGCACCATCAAATAAAATTTCATTTGAGAAGTAAATAACTTAGGATTAAGAATATAAAAAGGAAGGATAGAGATTGTTTGGCATGGGGAAGGTTTTTATGTGAATTGAAAATGGAGAATTAAAAATATTTAGGCTACACTGATAAAGATAACATAAAAAAAGAATTTGTATAGTGCTAAGACTATAAAATATTCAAAAGCACTTAACATTAAGTTACAATTAACAGCTAAGATTAAAATTCCAACAAAGCTAGTAATAACAATAATTACAATAACAAATTTCCTTGCTAAGCTACAATCTAAAGAAATGAAAGTCTAAAAGTCAACACAAAATTAAAATTAAAGTATTTAAAGCACTAAACATTACGAGCTATTCTTATAAATTATAAGCTTCCCTTAAAAGAAATGTTTTAGGATGCTTTTTAAAAATGCCAAGGCTACTACAGATACACTGAAGAGGCTACTAAAGATATCCTAAGGAAGGACTAAGCCTTTCATGTGGACCACTCAAAAGCACCGTGATCAATACTAAATAATCCTAATTCCAGAGATCTCTAGAATTTTTTGATGAATCCATTTTAATAAAATGAAAACCAGAAGATATAACTAACTGAAAAACATCAAATTCTTCTTTCCCTTAAACAATATGAAAATCTGGGACTCCTTAAAACATGGCAGCAAAAAGGAAAATGATGATATTTGTATTAACTGGATAACATTGCTAGGGTTTGCAGTATTTGGTATTTTGACAATTTTGGTTGAGATTTTTTTTTGGTTTAAATCACTAACATGTCCATTCAGTCAAACTTACTCATTTCTTCTGAACAAATTTTGAATTTTAGGAAAACTTTTTTTATGAGCACTGAAAGTTAGAATGAACCTTTAACTCCCAAGATCTCATTAGTAATTCTCCTTAGTGTCTGTCAAATGATTCTCATTATGTTAGTTTGGATAATTTGATATTGGATCCATTAATAATCCCATAATTTATATTTTTTTAATTCTCATCACTTGTCTGCATGATATTGCATAGATATAGTAAGGAGAAATTCTGTCTTGGTCACTCATTGGAGTTAAAGGGTTAAGTCTTCTGTAAAGGACAAAGTATAGCTTCCGACCTACTCCACTCCCCCAGAGGAGTATCGACCGACAAGAATGCATTTTCTATGGGGAGGAGGGTAGAAATCCACGTACAGCACGAGTTTTCTCTAGAATTTCGTACTTTGTAAGAAAAAGAAACATTCTTCAAATATCCGAACTAAGCCAAATTAAAAGGGACTACTCAAAGATAAAAAGACATTAAAATTTGTTGGCTCACATCGAATTACGTTTATCGTAAAAAAAAAGGTGACTAACGACATTTGTAATGATGATACAACGAGTGTTTTGCCATCCAGGCTTCGAACCAAAAATATAAAAATCTCTTCAGTTCAACCATACATACCTCAACAAGCTGTGATTTGTTCAATCCTGGTCGGGTTTGTAACTTGTAATGTCGTTTATATCTTCTTAGAGTGTTCACCTGCAATTGACAGAAATCGACCTGTGCGAGATGAAAGAGAACACGTCAAAATCTTTCCTAAGAATATCAAACACGTAACCAACAAGTTTGAGCACGAATGGTAAGGAAAACCGTCGCAAACAGCAGGGTAAATTACTCCAGGTGCTTAAAAAGATAAACACAGAGTTGTCCTTCTTACCTCAGCTGTGTCCGCTTCATCGTCGGAATCTTTACGTTTTCTCTTGCTGCGAACGCTCTGAATCATATTTTTGTGATGCTCGCAAATATAGATGTGTCTTGCCTGAAATAAAACCGGTTTAAAATGAATTTAATTCGAATTATCCCAGCTCTATCAAACAAAAGCTTACAGTTCAGTCAGCAACCTCGGATCTGTGAAAGGATTCAGTCGGAAAAAATTTCGCTTACGTTTACGTCCAAAGCCAACTTCAGTTTTCTCTGAGAAACTGTCTTCTGAATTCGCTTGGAGTAGCTTGCGTTGCTGGCTGGTCGCTTACAGCGGTCGTTGTCTTCGACAAGGCAGCAAATCTGCCCGACAGTAGAGCTTTGTTCTTCCTGTTCGCTTCGATAGCCGTTCATTACTGCCAATCCCCGACACACATTAGCTTACCGCCGATCTTGAAAATCGCTCCTTTCCTGTTTGTTGTACACATGCGAGTGACGTCATGTCACATGGTTGAACAATGAAGAAGATGCCAAGTCAGTTTTGCGCGCATTTTTCCAGCCGATTTTTCGATCGTCACGCAATATCAATAGTATTGTTTATCCATGGAGTAGTACATGTCAGCTCGATTATCAACCATCGCATCTTATCAAATTGTTTGTTTGACTTACATGTACTTTGTACTGGAGAATATTGCCTCACAGTCAATCAGTTTCGCTCTCGTTTTTTTGTATTTTCAAGTAGGGGTGCGGTGGGGGAAAGTTATTGGAGGTACTTACGCACGAGTATCATTTCTTATATTTAAACCTTTCTGACTGAGATCAAATTTCACCTTGCCATTTTGTTTTGCCTAGAGTGGTAGATTCTAATGAGCACTGAATACGGCCCAAATCTAAATCAAAGGCGTCTTCTAAAGGGCTTAGCAGAATTAAACTGATCACATATTCCACGTGCAAGAAGTTGTTGATCACATAATCGTCAGCTGTTGTAAATCAAATTTTATAGATAACTATAGGGATGGTTTTCCACGATCATTTCCCAACACCTGGGAAGCCTGTGGTTCCAGGCAGAGGCTACGAATTGCACACGTAGGACAGGGAACAAACAGCGGGAAAAGTAAACCAATCACTCGCGTTCTTCGGCTCGGCAGAGGTTGTCAGCTTCGGAAGGTTCGCGCTTTTCAGTTTTCGCTTACGGTCTTCCTTTAAGCTTACTATAAACTATCTATAAAACTTGTAACGCAGTGAATAGTTAACACTTCCTTCAAATCAACTTCTAGTACGAAATGTCGACACGCAAAGACCCAAACAAGCCCCGAGGAAAAATGAGTGCCTACAATATTTTTGTCAAGGAAGAAACCGAGGCGATGAAGAAATTACAAAGCGAAGCTACAGGCGACAGTTCTGAGACAAAAGAAGATAAAGCAGTTCGGCAAGCGTTTATACCGGCCTGTGCAGAAAAGTGGAAGAAGTTAACTGAGGAGGAGAAAAAACGTTTTGTGGAGGCCGCAGAGAAGGACAGGATGAGGTATAACAACGAAATGGCTAATTACACACCGCCGAGATACGAAGGTAGTGAAAGGAAAACTCGAAAGCAGAAGAAGATGAAGGATCCAAATCAACCCAAGAAGTGGATGTAAGTCTAAACCTAAATAAAAGTTGCTACTTTCATGTCGACTTAGTACAAGCATCCGTTCCAGCTGTTTCTCCATAAGTATGAATTTACACTATCCGGAAAACTGAATCTGGTCAAGTTTATATAGTGATAAAGCGCTGTGCTTTATAAAGTTTATCTGAGCTACGACTTGCATGATTCCTCACATTTTAAAAAAAATTCGGATCTGTACGCCGCTGACGACTTTAGACCTTTGAGAAAATGAATGTAAGCAAAAAATTTCTTTAGTACGACTCAAATTTAACCAAAGCGCCATTTTGGATCAGTTTTCTGCAGAGTGGTTTATTTTCTAGATAAGTTTCAGTGAAAAGGTTCACGTAATCCTGTTTCATTTCTGATTAGTTCATTATTACTCACAGTTCTCTTCTTCGAAACCCATCTTAAGCTGACGCTTAATTTATTTTGTATTCCCCCTAGGTCTTCCTTCATGTTTTTCTGCCAAGACAAACGCGCTGCGATGAGAGAAGAAAATCCAGAAATGAGAGTTAGAGCTAAAATGCTCGGTGAAATGTGGGCCAAGATGGAAGAAAAAGAGAAAGAAAAGTTTGAACAAATGGCAAGGGAAGATAGAGAGAGATACGAAGAGGAGATGAAAGCTTTTAGAAGGGGAGACTATGTAGTTCCTAGTACAAGCCAGATAGCAGTGGAAGCCGAGGAATAATTTAAAAGCAGGAGAACTATTCAATGGCGGCTGACCTATTTGTGTTACACCAGTTGTTTTGATGATACTTTAGCGATTAAGCTGGGATTAAACTACGAAAACTGAAAAATGGAAGCCTTCACTGCAAATTCATGACGGTTTTAGAACTAAAGTAATTTAGAATGTTTCTGTTCTTTCTAGACGGAAATATTAAAGGTATTACCTTTCATACTTACCGAGGCTTGCAGAATAATTGATTTTTTTTTTTAATGATGACTGCTTTGCAAGACTGATTTATAATATAATAACCCTATATATTTTAAACTAGGAACAACTTCTGTTGGGATAAATTATCCCTTGTTTTCGAAATAAGAACACGTTTTGCATAAGTTAGTGAAATAGAAAACCTAAAATGTTCCTCCTTTCATCTACTTGCAAGTGAAGCTCACCTTTTTGGTTTTCTATTTCCTTTTGATAAAATCAGTGAACAGGACAGTTTCAATAACTAAGTAACTGTTAAGAGTAAGCTTTTTTCCCTGTGTAGAACGCATATTAAGCGTTTCCTACAGTGATCGAACTCTTTCTTCTCGCGCGCTGTCTGCCAGAAAGAACCCCTAACAAAAAGCTAGACCATTTTTACGTCCGCAAGATTCTTGTCATGGCGCTTTAAAACCATTATTCGTCTCCTCATAAATGCCACATCATTACATGTATTAATCTGGACCACAGTATGCTCCATCTACGCTCGACACAGCTGCACTACCAGATCTCACTTTGATAACACGCGTCTTTTTAGATTTCGTTCCGCAGTTGAAGAGTCGTGACAGGACTGAACGCCCTTCTCCATTCTCGGCTTTTCCCTCACTGGCACTTTCCGAATTTTCCTTCACAGGTCTACGCACATCATCCAATTCACCAGGCTTGATAACTTTCACACGAGTTTTAGTACTGCAAGGCATCTAAATAATGAGAATTCTTCGATGTCATCGTCAAAATTCCCGACGCGCGCGCGTGTACGCACTTTCTGTCGTTACGTCAAATGCAAAACCATCGTTTTTGTTTATGACGTATCAGTAGTATTTATGACGTAGCTAAGCATTCAGATTAGGGTGAATGGTACTGGATGGACCAAAGTTCTCAAGCTGCAGCATAGTAAGGGTAACTAAAGCATGGAGTCAGTAGAGGCCACGAACGGTTGTGACAGCTGATCTCTGGAAGAGTGGTTGTCGTATCAAATGCTATTGCTTCGCGGTGAGCGCCCTGCACATTAGCAGTTACAGTAAACTCCAGTTACCTGCCGAAAACCTTAAAGACCGACGACAGGAGTCCTCCTGAGAGAGGTTTGACTGATAAATCAAGTGTACATTCATTTGTTTTATTGTCTACAGTTCCATTGTCAGTTTTAGGGTACGAGATTTGAAACTGGTGATATAACAGTTGATTGTGTAGTCTGATCGCTCAGGTGAGGAGTCCTCAGAAGGACCGTTGTCGGTAGAAGTGACTAAAAACGTTTCGACAACCTGTGTAGGAGTCACTCTAAGACTGAGTCAAGTGAGAAGTTTTTTCTCAGTCAGGTGTTATAAGTTTGGCTTGTCGTAAGCAGATCGGTCGATGTTCTCGTGATGTTAATGATCGTGAGACTCATATCAAAAATCGCTCGTCAAGGGTCCCTCTAATTTAACACACTCAACAGACTTGAAACACCACAGGCGCCTCAACCTTAATGGGAGAGTAGGTTTAAGTTTTACAATGCATTGCGCAAAACTATACAAGGATTCAAGTGAATAAAGGAGGTAAGTTTGTAAAGAAACTGTGGTGCTGCGTCGGTGAGAGAGTATAACAGGGTAATTTAGTATTATCAACTGAGTTGATAACGTAAATTGGCCACCGTAAAGAGTTTAAAAGCAGACGTTTCCAGGCTAACACTCGAAATTTCAGCTTTTAAACTCTTTTCGGTGGCCACTTCTCTTTATCAACTCAGTTGATAATACTAAATTACCATGGATTCAAGTGAGCTTGGGGCGCCTCGCCTATGATAACACCGGTGTTAAAAAATCCTTTTCAAACAAAGAGCTCAAGTCTAATATCTGAATTTAAAGGTCTGATACATGTATCAAATTGAATATAAACATTTAACTGTAAATAACGCCTTCCACATGTCTCAGACTCCCAACAAAAACAAGCGACACATTCGACATAATCGAAGGCTAAAAACCAAAACTCAATTGAAGAACGAGTGTTCACTTCAACCCAAATTCAAGTGCCCGCGTTAACTTCATATTTAAGTTCAAGGTTTCTGGAGATTGGCTGAAATAATAAGAACATTACAATTACGTCTTACTCCAATTCGAAGACAGGTTGTACTTTACTATACGGTGTTATCACTTTTCTCTTAATGAAGAAGTGGTCATATGCACATTCTACCCCCCCCACCACGCCCTTCCGCTAAATGTCAACAGGAGTCCATTCGAAGATTATATCAAGGAGGCGGCTTATATGGACTATGTGTGATTTTTAATTGCTTAGAAAAAGACTAATAGCTATTTACAAATACTGATTATAAATAAAATCACTAAGAAGTTTGCGATGTTCTGTTTCCAGATATCCTCTTCCTCTTTTTTTTTTTGCTGTTACTGTTCTTTCCGCTGTCACTTTTCAACGCCCCACTCAAACCTAAGGTTTCCTGGGTACGCATTGGCTGAGAGCTATGGAAGAAAAGAAAAACAGAATTCACAAATAGTTTTATAACTTTGCCTTTCTGTAACCGTTTTTTTTATAGTCCAAACATACCTCTTCTGAATCACATCACTTCTTTCGGCAGTCAGTATTATAACGTCTTCCTCCTCGCTGTCATCATTATCCACGATGGAGTGAACGACTGCAACAAAGACAAAACGAAGTAAGGAGCTCTAGAGATCGTTAAAAGTAGTTTCTGTGTTGGGCTTCGTTCGGTTCAAATTCTTCCTGTTTGTTTTTTTTTCACGTGCTCGAACGCTGTTTACTCGCGCTTGGTACCAAGCGGCATAGTTTCCCGCGCTTTCTGGCGGTTGCATGTCTCAACGAACTTGACACATGTTTTCCGGTGTGTTTAGTATTGGTTACATATATATCCACACTTTGCACCAATTGCATATTTTCCCGCACTCATCATTGGCTGCATATTTGCCTCGCACATGGACCAGTGACATACTTTCCCACTCTTGGCACTACTAGAAGTTGCATATCCGTCAGCGCTCAGCACTGTTTGCATATTTTCTACGCGCTTGGAGCCATAAGCATATTTTCCCACGCTTGCCAATGATTACATATTTTTCTGCCTCTGGCATTAGTTGTCTCACTCCCTCGCTTACGAGAAGGATATGTTACATTGCCATTTCGAGATCTGATTGGTTCCCTGGGGCGTGTGGGTCTTGATTGACAGGGATTTTAAGATCAATTCTGGTCTATGCGATACGCTTAGGAAAATCAGAATATAAAGCATAAAGTTCAACATTTTTCCCTCTTCACCTTTGCTGCCATTCTTCTGCTGTGATTCTGGTGTCGGAGACTCACTATTTCTTTCCTCTCCAGTTATTTCAACCTCCTCACTTTCTTCCATTTCTCCATCTTCTTCATCTAAAACGATCCAAGAATTGTCTCCTCCTTCGCCAATTTGAGCAGTTCCCGGTCCCTGTCAGAAGCAAACAATAAGAAAAAAAGTAAACCAACACACAAATACACAAATATAGGTTGGATTTAAGCAGTGATGCAGAGAAAAATTTCCACTTGAGAGTCAAAAATATTCCGGGGTTGCTTTGGCTTACATCGCTCGGTGATTGGTCCAGGAAACTCGCGCCATCCTAGCAACCAATCAGAATCAAACCTAAAACCAATCGTGACCTGGTCACTCGCGTTTTCCCGCGCTTCATGCAGTTTGCTTATTTTTAATCTGCGTTCTCATTGGCTCCTCGTGATCTTTTCATTTCCTTTGATTGGCTTTTGTGATTTATTTGCCTTTGCTTTACGACCCTCTCGCGAAATACGCTCTATTAAGAGAGGCGGCTTTTCGTTCATTGTTCCAAAATCAATTTGAGATCCGGAGTGCTGGAAAATGTCATAGTGAGCAGCTAATGAGAACACAAAGTAAAAATAAGCGAATTGCCCATAGGTTGGGAAAACGCCAATAGCCAAGTCACGTTTGGTTTTAGTTTCAAACTTGATTGGTTGAAAAGATAGTAAAATTTTGTGGACCAATTACATAGCAAAGAAAAGCAAACCCAAAGTAATTATGAATTATTTTTGAAACTCAATCGCAAATTGCTCCAATAACAAATTACCTTCAATTGTGCTCCCCATGGACTGCAAGATTATTCATTGTCAAGGAGTCTAGTAACTCTTTTAGATTGTTCTTTGTAATTTGTACTTTTGCTTAATGAAACAAAAAAAAAGGTTACAGTTGCCTTTGAAGAATCTCACACTGGCACTTAAATCATTATTAAAAAAAAAAAAGATTATGAAGACTGCAGTACAGTACAGAATACTCCTAAAAATTGGTTTGATTTTATACAGTGAGAATAATTTCCAAATGACAAATTATTTGTAAAGGATACTTTTCTTCCATTGCTGTCATATCATCATGTTGTCTTTCTGTGAAGTAAAGAGTAAAATAATGTATAACTCTTTTATACCATTCTCAAGTCTGAGTCTCATCATAGGTCAAGCTTGCTCAACTGTTTTCCTTACACAGCTAAAATTCTACCATCTACCTCATCTTTCTGCTGTTTTTATGCAATCCATACCTACTCTAAAACGATTCTAGTTTATCACTGACTAATTGTTAAGCTTTTCTTTGCCTTCCTTACAGTCTTCACTGCCAACCATTTTGTGCTCATTCTTTAATCAAAATCTGTTAGCTTTATTTAGGTTTCAATCTGAATCTGTGAATCACTCCTTCCAGCTGAGAATTTACACTTCATGACTAGACTATGTTATACATGTTTATTAAGTATTCTTGGAGTATGTAATTTGGTTTGGAAATTACCTATTTAATAATTGCTTCTTCTGAGCAATATGACTCTGCTAGGATGAAAAACAAGAGAACTAGCTACACCTAAGTTGAGGCACATCTGTAAAATTGGTGCATTAAACATTTTGTGTTTTTCGGTGGCACAAGGAAAACACCTTAAATTGGAGTAAGTCCTTTGAGTAAAGATGAGCATCAGTAAGAAGTCTGACTCACATTTAATACCAGGCATGAAAATTGAACCAGGACCACAGTTGTGGGATGCAAGCAGTCTCATCACTGTTTTGTCACTAAATTATGCCTGCTTCCCTATGGGGTAATTCTCCAATTTGTACCTGTTACTTTTTCCACAGCTCCACTAATATCCACCTCAGACTCATCAGCTGATGTCACAGTAATAATGGATGGTGTTGTATCTGATTCTATCAATCCTGTTTTCCCAAGAGCTCTGGTTGAAAAAAAGAAATAAGACATAATAGAGTACAAATTTATTAGTCTTTGATATAGTTTTACTGAACTCAAAACTTATACAAATCACAACTTTATCACTCAAACTTCTATCCTTCAAATTTTGACTTCTTAGTGGTTCTTACTGACATCCACCTTGTTAAGCTTGGCCTCTGTCAGTAGCAACTGTGATTCTGGTTTTAAAATACTCCATTGAAAGGTGTTTTTATAATGCAATAGATTACACTGAGTTAAGCATTCAAAAATAATCATTTGATAATTGTTATTGGAATGTTAACAATCTATTCCTTTTGATTACTTAACCCTTTACATCCTAACATCAGTTAACTTATTCTCCATACTGTTCTCTATACATTTCCTAAGGTACTGACAAGGAGATTTTATGTAATAATCAAGAGCTTCTGTAGTTGGTGATTATTTAATTTATTCTCATGACCTAAATGTCTGGTCACTCTTAGACGTCAAAGGGTTAGCTGGTCTACTACTTGACTAGACTCTAGGTTCAAAGACTTATTCTAATATCTCTTTCATCATCACACTTACCTTTGTTTAGAATCCTCCTCCAGTGCCTCTTGTATAAGAGCGACAATTTCAGTAACCTTAACTGATGCAATCTTGGAACATCTCAGGATCTAGATAAGCAACATGATGATCATTTCATATTCTGTTGTTCACAAAGCAAACTTTTTGGAACGAAATTGTCCTGGCTTTTTTTATTTCTCTTTTAAATCATTTGTTCAAGGTAACAATGAGCCAAATTAATGTGAAAATTATACTATTGTTTGAAATTTGAGATAAAAAATAAAAATTAAAAAGATATTACTAAGAAAAAGTTAAGGAGTAGGATCTCTGGTATTGCCAAGGATATCTACCATAAAAAAAAAACAAAAAAATAAAATCTTTAGTCAAACATTTTGAAAGAGATTGAGATAGTTTTCAGTAAGATGATTATAGGTGGAAATCCTTAAAACCATCCCTTAAATCCTTTGGCAGAGTAAATATTCTTGAAGATCTTTGAAAGAATGATATCAGCAGTGTTCTTCAGATTTCTTTTAGTGGTCAGTCACACTTAAATATCAACTTACTTCAGTTCTAGACACTGGTACTTGTCTAACTGAAGAAGCCAGTGCTTCAGAAAAGAGTGGCTGGCAAAAATGCTAACTACCTGCACTTCTGGAGAATACTGGTATCAGTCAGAATAAATGCACCTGTTCAGATTCTAATGAAACTCCACCACCCATCACTGCTCCACAGATTTCACGATGAATATTCATTGCCATGATCATTCTCCCATCCATTACAATTTCCTCTTTATCTGTTGGATCTACAAGCAACTGTTGCCTGGGAAAAATATTTGAATTGTTAGTTGAAAAAAATGATTGCAGTGTTTTTGTGTTTTTTCTTTAAATTCCCATCAATTTTGGGAATGCCGATTTCCCTGGAGTAGCTTTAGGGGACGCATGCTTCTGGGTTTTTTTTTTTATTTCAAAGTTCATACTTTGTTTCAGAAGAATAAATTAACATGTAAAAAATTGCACAGAAGCTTTTCAGAAACACAACAAAGACAAAAGTTGTGACCCTTGAAGGCCACCCAAGGTGTTTGTCTCATTGAAGTCATAGCATATGTCCCACAGTCTGAGTGGTTATTTAAGGCAGGTTTGACCGAATTTTATAATTATCGTAGAAATGCTCCAAAATATCATCACATGCAGATTGAAATGCTTGAAAACATGAAATAATGGCCTACCCTTCATTGAAAAAGCCAAATGTTATACAGACAGGCATATGAAGGATACTGAGGGGGACTGGATCACGGTCCTCTGGAGAGTACTGATAAAATAAGACAGAGCAGAGTATATCATTATTGCTATGTCAGGCCTGAAATCAGCACTTTTATTGCCATGAACATCATCATCCCAACCATTATCATTATAAGAATTACTTATAATCACTATCATTAATAACAATTTTCATACATTAAAATCATTATGATCATCATTATCATTGGTACTGGGATTGATCTTCATAATATAGCAACAACCTTGTTAAGTTTCTGTAGATGAAAAGATTTGTTCCTGTATATCTAGCTACCAGTACAATTGAGTCTGGGCAGTCTAAGAAAAAGAGTCTTATCCCAGGAAATTAAAAATGACTGCTAAGTGATACACTAGTCTATTATCAGCCTTTTTCCATGTTGAAAATAAATCCCACATTGAAAATAAAATTTTGTGCCTTGCCTCTATTGAACACTTACAATTGTGACATCTTCACCGATAACAGACACATCTGGCCGCCTAGAAAAGCAAGGGAATATTTTTTTGAGATCAGGTCAAGGGTACATTTGATTTTTGTTACACAAAAGAAAGTCAAAATTTTAGAGTTTTTGCATGTTTTTTTGTGAATTTCTTTGGTTGAAACTGAAAAAATTCAAATCTTTGAGCATTGAAGACAAGATAAGACATTGATTTCTGGGCACATTATCTTGGAAGAATGATTATTTGCTTAAAAGGAAAATTCATGCCAAAAATTAGTTAACAAATGAATTTTTAATCATTTTTGTCTTTGTTTGGAGTCACAATCAACTGATAAATCAAGCTATCATTAATATGAAAATCACTGAGAGTGTTTTGAGTCAGTCTTCATCAGGTTACCACCTAAACAACTTATTTAAAACATTTATTTATCACTATGATATTGATTATAATCACAATGAAAAAAAGCACAGACATCTTCAACAAAAAAAGCAATTTCAAGGTTTTGATAAACAAGCATACCTAAAGTGAGCCAAAGCTGTAACTGCAGCAATACTTGCGCAATCAGCAATGTTACCACCATTGTCCAATACATGCACATCAACCCTTATTGACCAAACCTATGTCACATAAAATATTTCCTGGTATTAATCATGATAATTAGAAAATAAATGTATTCAACAAGAAATCACTATGATACAATCAAGATCAATATTCATTTCACCAGAGTACGTGATTTATTGATTTTAAGTGACAATAAATTATAAATAAAAATACAAAAATGGTACTTTTGGTGACCTCATTACAAACATTATTCTACAATGGAGAGTGTCTTAAGTTTATAAAACTGAGAATAAAGAGAACAAGACAAAACATGTAATTCAGTTTAATTAATCCAAACCTTTTCACCAGCAACAATGCATAGAGATTCTACATCAATAGCTCGTGACTCTACGTAACACCTCTCCATAAATCGGTTAAGTTCAGTGCCAAATTCCGTCATTCTATAAGAGGATGTAAGGGCATATTCAAGGAAGATATTAAAAATTTATAATCTGTAGTACACTCCTTGTTATGTTAGTTCTGAATTGGCTTTAAAACAATTTAAACTTGTCAGTTGATAATTGTTATTGTTATTCATCTGTCTGTGTGTTGTGTAACATGTTGATCTGTACTGAGAAATTACTTTGTTGCCATTCCTGATGGTGAAATATCTAACTTACCTTCCTGACTCAAAGGCTGGTGATGCCATTGGTGAAAGTTCCACATTGAGAAATAGCTGGCCTTCTGTGGGTCTATTTGGCTTTGGTTGAACAACTTCACAAGACACTTGAGCTAAAACCCTATCCAAGACAAATATAATGTGCCTATGTTTCATTGTTGTTTTAGACAATCAGAATTCTGAGGGCACCAATTAACCCTTTACACCCTAACATCAGTAAGTATATTCTCCATACTGTTCACCATACATTTCCTAAGGTGCTGAGAAGGAGAATTTGTTTAACAATTAAGAGCTTTCTTAGTTGGTGATTATTTCTTTCATTCTTGTGTCAGTAATGTTTGATTCAGGGATGGTATTGTAAGGAGAAATTAGATGCTAGTCACTCTTAGGGGTCAAAGGGTTAATAAATTATTCCCAAGATACTCTGTGTATCTGCTTAGAAACAAGGGTAAAAAATTTGAGAGCCTTTGAATAATACATCTTCACAAAAGAGGTTTTGCACTTGGCGTTGCAGTTGTTTAAAAGGCGGATAGCATTATCCACTGGAAAAATGATTATCCAGTGGATAGCCTAGTGTAATTTGCTGAGTAGCGATTTACCTATTGGAAGGCGCTATCCTCCCCTTAAACAGTTTCGCCCAAACCCTTGGCCCTGGTCCACTTATTTAGGTATTTCCACTTTTCACTGTAATGACTAATACATCCGTTTTAAAATCATTGGTCTTCCTTCCTTTCTGATTAGCGATTTATTAACTGATAACTATTTTACCCAGCCATTGAGATCGCGGGAACGATTCCAGACGAAATTGTATTCCACTCAGTTCCTTCCATTATCACTATCTACTAATGTGAATAATCAAAACGTTTATAACACAAGTCCAGATTGCGACCAATTTATAGAAAGGGAATGCCTCAGAACCATCCAGAATGACTTGTTGCCGTACCTTGTTTCACCCAGTTGAACCTCGCAATGTCCTCTGTCTACACCAAATAAAATTCTGAGTTTCCGGTAGTCGTAGGCTTCGCGTCCATCTATGCGCTGTTTATTAATACAAAAAGACTTTAGCAGTCTATTCCAATCAACAATAAAGGGAAAATAAAAGCAAAAGTAGGTAATCTGGTGTTGTAAACCTTTCTCGATTTGATTCCCTCGAGGAGAAAATCTCTTTCGCACGTAGAAAATGGCACGCTGGATGCTTTCATGGTGTTCAAGGTTGTTTTCAGTCAGGCGTTCCTAGCTACAAGATGAAGCTAATCTTATACCTGGCTCTAATTTGATAGCCGCTGATTATATAAACTGCGGGTGAAGGGTGCAAGCGATGACTTTCCGAGGACGGAGTAGAATAGATAGGAACTTCACTGTGTCTTTCTGTTGGAAATGTTACGGTGACAAAATATTAGTAATCTTCACCCGTTTATGGCTAAAGGTGTGAAGTAATTCCTTACTCTTGAGATAATATTTGAAAAGAAAAAAGCTTGATGCGGGCAGATCTGCTTCTAATATGCGACTGAGGTACATTACACCGTTATGGAGAGGTGGTTACGTAAGCACGTGTTCGTTTCAAAGAACGTTTCTGTCTTCAGAGGCTCCACATTACGGTAAGACCCTTGAAAACGGCCAAAATTTGGATTCCGAAACGAAGGAAAATGGCAACGGAGATATTATAGGAGCTGTGAAGTTATTTGAAGCCATCAAACATTACACTAAATCCAGTAATATACAAAACAAGACTAAATTGCTGAAATCTTACTGCGACTGGGGACTTTACGAACAAGCCATGAAAATTGTGCGTTCCATCGTCAATCTTAAGGTTTACGACACAGATGCTTATGACTTGGTAATAACCAGTATGGCAACGCGTAGACAGATAGGAAAAGCCATACAGGTCTTCGAGGAGAAATTGAAGAGGCAACAACACTTTCCAACCAAAGTATACTTAAGTGAATACGTCACGGAAATGATTGAACTGCTCCTCAATCCTGAAAATCTGATAATTAAGGGAGAGGTTTTTGATGAACATCGTCATACTAGAACATCACAGATAGTGTTTCGTTATCTTGAACAAAATGGGGAAAGATTACCATTAAGATTAATTCGTGCAATTCACTCGTGGCTCATGCATGATCCAAATAACTACTGGACTTGGCAGAACTGCACAATTAGTGAAGCAGGAAAATGCTCTTTCTGTGGTAATATGTTGATAAACCGCTTACCCTTAGAGGATGTACGCCAGTTGAAATTTGAAATCCTAAGGCTTTTTGAAATTCCACAGAAGTCTACTTTTAAACTGAACGATATAAGTTTAGAAGACCAGATGTACCAAGAGATACAAGAATTGAAGATGTTTGTCAAAGAAAAGGGGCCATTTGACGTAATTATTGATGGCTTGAATGTCCTTTGCACAGAATCAAAATTTAAGTTATCATCACACAGGCTATTAGAAATGGTAAATCACTTTGCCATACAACAGAAGAATGTTATGGTTGTATTATCTAAGAAAGAACTGGAAAATAGGAAAGCCACTAGGGCTCTCAAAACTACTAATTGTGCTGTTTTCATGAGCAGCTTTGGAAATGATGATTTGTACCTTTTGTATGCTGCAGCCATGAGTGGATTGCGATATGTTGAGGTTGTCACCAATGACAAACTCCGAGATCACCGCCTTTTATTCCCAGCTGAAGTGGGATGGATATTCTCAAGATGGACACGGTTAAACCGTGTAAGCTTTACAAAAGGAGGAAAAGGAAAACTGCAATTTTTCAGAGACAGAGTTGACCCTGTTGTGCAGTACAATGGGAATTCATGGCACTTTCCTGTTGCTAATGAAGCATGGAGGTGTTCAAGGAGATCAAAACGGTTCAAAAATTTATTTTAAATGCACATTTTTTAAAAGCTATGTACAATAGAGAATTTTGAAACTTGTTTATTGAGGCATAACTGAATGGCTCTTCCAGTAAACAAATATAATGGTATATTTGATAAATTATGTGATTCGGGTCACCCTGTGGCACTTATGTAAATGTTAAGATAAATTATGTGATTCAGGTCATCCTGTGGCACTTATGTAAATGTTATTACTGTTGGAGGAAAAAAATTGGCTTTTTGTTAAATGATAGTTGTGAACTTCTTCTTTCCTTAAGTTATGTATTTCCGTTATGTGCCAATTAATTCAAAGTTTGAAATTCCCCCCTCTTCCTCCCTGTCTACCCATGGGCATTTTACTGTCATCTGTGCTCATGGGGCAGGGAATTTCAATCTTGCTTAGGTGGGGAGGGGAATTTGAATCAGAACTGTCAAGTTTTCCCTAGGTCTACAAGAAAGTCACAGTGGCAGATCTTACCTTTACTTTGATCAAACTGGTCTTCAAAAGTTCAAATGCCTTGTGGAATATGTGATAAAATGAAGGTTGTTTACAGGAAAATGACACATGATGGGGTGAAGCTCAAGGCAACATAAGGCAAATTTGATTGGTAGTTAATGCCAAAGCATGGGAGTTGTGTGGAAATTTACTAACAATAGCATTTAGTTTCATGTGAGATTTTTTAGTGGGTTGAGATGATATTGAAAATTTAGGCAGTTTACTGGGAAATGTCATTTTATCAGGGAAAACCTAATTGGTAGTGATAAGGAAACACAGAACTGTTCTAGGAAAGTACCATTAAACACAATATGTAATTCATGGAGAACTTCTAAAAGCAAAGAAACAAATATTTACATGGCAGAGGGAATCAGTTTCGGCTGGCTACACGCTTATTTCCCGCGCAAAATTTTAAAGGAACAAATTAAGAAACAGCGTTAATTGACCGCTCTCTCGCAAAGTGAGCGTCGTGTTTAATTCAGACAGGCGTTCCTAGAGCGGAACTAAAACTCGAGCATCAACTGGCACTAATTTGGTAGGCGCTGATTAGATGACTGCAGTTTCATGATGATTTAGGGGCACAGGGACCAGAGAGCGGGGAAGGATAGAAATAATTCAGTCCGGGTCTTTGTTATCTTCTCAACTGTTGTATGACTTTTGTTTTTGGAAACAGTTTAGGAACATTCAGCTGCTTTATCCAACGGGAACCCGGTATGATTCGGCTGAGGTGTCGTACATCGAGAAAGAGAGCTTGTGTAGCAAGCACGTGTCTGCTTTTCAGATCCTTTCTATGTTCAAAAGCTTCAACTTCTGTTCATACCCATGGAAACGGCCAAAATGTAGAGACTGAAACGACGATGAAACACTACATTAAGACTGGTAAGGTAACGGATGCCGTAAGGCTATTTGAAGAGAGCAGGAACGGTGGAAAGTCGTGGAAAATAGACGGTTGTTACTCTTGGCTATTACATTTGTTTGTGCAACACAATGAACATGAAGCTGTAGACAAGCTGTACGAAGACATTAAACGAAATGCTATTTTCATTGGCGAAGGAGCTAAATTCTCGATGATTAAATCTTACAGCAATCGGGGACTTTTTGACCTGGCTGTCGGCATGCTGCACGCCATTGTGGAAAGAAATATAGCTCACCACACTCGTCATTATGATTATATCATTACCTCTATGGCCAAGAGGGGACAATCGAGAAGAGCTTTGCGGGTCTTTGAGGAGAAACTAGAAAGGTTGGAAAATTTCGGAATTAATGAAAACATGTCTGCGCCAATCAAAGACATGATTGAATTGCTTCTTAACCCTAAAAGTCTCCCAGTTAAAGAGAACGATCATGGTAAGGAAGGCAAAGTTGATACAAACCATCACAAGAAAATGTCAAATATGGTTTTTAGTTATCTTCAACAAACTGGTGAAAGGTTACCGGTTAAATTGCTTGTAGCAGTTCGCTCTTGGCTGAATCACGACCCTGTTTATCACTGGAAGTGGAAATACAGCAGAATAAGCGAAGTAGGAACATGCTCATCTTGTGGAAATCAATTGATGAGTGGCATCCTCCCAGGAGATATACAACAATTGGAAAGGGAGCTAATCAAACTGTCCAACAGCCCTCAACTGGTTATTTCCAAAGTGGCAGGTGAAAATCTGGACAAGAAAATACAGAAAGAGTTGGAAGAATTGAAGAGCTTTATTCAAAGAAGAGGACCATTTGATGTGGTAATTGATGGCATGAATGTTGCTGCCTATGGCTCAGGAGCAAATATGTCATTTTCCACAGACAGGCTGGTAGCCACGGCACATCACTTTGCGGCGCAACAAAAGAAAGTGCTTGTGATAGTAAACAAAGTTTGGAGAACTTCTGTCTACAAGCTTGAAGATGTTTGTGCTGTTTTCAGGAACAAGTTTAAAAATGATGACTTGTATGTTTTGTATGCTGCAGCTTTCAGTGGAATGCAACAAGTTGAGGTTGTCACCAACGACAGACTCAGAGATCATCGCCTTCTGCTTCCTAGCAATGTTTGGTGGACATATTTAAGATGGACAAGACTAAACTGTGTATCCTTCACAGTCAATGAAAGAGGGAAACTGGAATTTTTCAGGCAAAAAGTTGATCCAGTGGTGCAGCGTAGTGGCAGCTCCTGGCACTTCCCTGTTGAGGATCGATCATGGAGATGTGCGACAAAATCAGGAATTAAGAGATCACAAATCAAAAATTAGCCTACAATAAATACATCCTCATCGACAACAAATAAAGATAACTTCAAAGGTGTAACATCGAGACAGGGTTGACTGACTTTGCGATACAAATGTAAAGTGCATGTATTTGAGACTTGTATGCCAAGCTTGAGTTCAAACTGGGTAGGATTAATTTGAATTAGTCAAAGAAAGGCCAAAATTCACATGTGATGTGTCCCTTGCATGTCTTAACCCTTTAACTCCCAAGATCTCATTGGTATTTCTCCTTACTGTCTACCATACAGTTCTTGTGATCTTAGTTTGGAGAATTTGGTATTGGATCAACTAATAGGTAATCCCCTAATTGATATTTTTCCTTTTTCTTGTCACTTTTCTGCCTTATATTGTCTTGATATTGTAAGGAGAAATTCTGTCTTGGTCACTCATGGGATGTAAAGGGTTAATGTTGTTCATGCCAAGCACCTGTCCAAGATTGGGCCTTCTCCTGAAAATCATGGTATTTTATGTAATCTTGGAATATTTGGTAGGTGCTATCAGAAAAGGATAAACGCATCCAGCCATTCATGGAATTTTAAAGAAAACTAGAAATTCAGTTTTTATTTGCTGTTTTCCTCAACATTGCCATCCTGTGTGTGTGTTAGGCCCTAATGTTAAGTAGGACATGTTGCATGGTGGCCCCAACAAAATCTGTGAAGAAGACTAGATCATTATATGGTTCATAATTTCTGGTGTTGTGGATACTGTACTTTGTTAGTTTACTGATAATGTAACCCCTCCTTTCTCCCTAAACAAGATGGGCAAAACCAAAACTGGTAAATTATACAATAAACCACTTTGCATTGTTTCACTGTTTAATCTTAAACTACTTTCCACTTGGTAATTAGTCAAGTTATGACTACACTTTATAGAAAAAGTGAACACGTGATTTGAGCAAATGTTAACCACTTCACTTGCTGTAATGTAAGCTTTGCCTGAAAACATGGCTGTAAATCTTGCTTTAGCACCTCACTTGAATAGGGCAAAGTTGAAAGGGTAAAGTTCCGCAAACATTGTCAAGTTTTGGTCATTTGCCAAACATCTTTGAATAGATTTGTTTTTCTTTGTTGCGTTGCTCCTCCTTTAACTTCTTTAGTCTTGCCATCTCATTCTTTATGCCTGAAAAAAACCAAGAGTGCAAATCTAAATTATTTCACCAGTATAACAACTTGTTTTTACTGGTATGATACCACATTCTGACTGGGAATGATTGAGTTGGGTGACAATGTTCAAAGCCCAATAAGCTAGACAACAAATGCAACTGACATGGCAATGTCATAACTTTGCACCCAAGGAACATTATAACAGGGTTTTGCACAACTCCGCTCTACAACAAATGCAGTACCTTAGCAGTGAAGGAGGGACCCCAACAAATGGCTTTCCCCCCACAACCTACCTGTGTGGTAGATTGTCTTAAATCCAAATTCCTTCAACAACAGGACTGCATATTACTGATCAACTTGACATATTTAAAATGAACTTATCTTCCTACTTTGAAATATTTCTTACTAATGTCCACCCTTGTTAGAGGTGGTTGACAAATTGGTTAAAAAGAAGTTCCTTGAACACTAACTTATTCAAGGAAATAAAGAAACTTACTCTTGTCATTAGGTTCCAATTTAGCAGCAGCCTGAAAATCAACCTGTTAAACAGCAACAAAAAAAAGGGTATTCATCTCAATTGTTTGAATTAAATGTCAAAAACCTAAAAAAACACTAGAAAGAGTGGGTACCATTGCTTGATCAAAGTCTTGCATGTTCATTTTAGCCTGTCCTCTTCTGTAGAGAGCTTTTACATTTTTATCATCAAGATCCAGCACCTTGAAGAAGGAAAAATATGTATGATTTGCCTTGAATTTATATTTTTACAAGAAAAGAAAGGCTAAAAAGTTGACATAACCTCATTAGAGCTTCCCTCTCCTAAAACGAGGGGGAGAAAGGATTTTTTTTCCAGGGAAGGGGGCAGATGTACACAGGCCTGAGACCAGGGATAACCAGTGGGGTAACTAAAACAGAAGTACTGCAACTGGTATGGAGATTTTAATAACACTTTAAAACATAAATTTTAATTGGGAGTTGGTTTCAAAAGAAATTGTGGAGCTGTATTTGTAGAAGAGTACAACAAGGTAGTTTGATATTATCAACTGAGTTAACACAAATTGGCCACCATAAAGAGTTTCAAAGCTGATATTTCAAGCATTAGCCCTTCATCAGAGGGACAGAGGGAATTATTTTTAGCCGCATGTTACACAAGGCAACTCTTGATGCTGATTTGTGGTGGCAACTGTCAATTTGTCCTTGCAAACTTTCCAAGGAACACTGCCTCTACCATGTGACAGATGTTTCAAACTCTCTAGTTGGTAGTTTGAAGTACAAATGAACTGTACCTCATTACAATCTTCTACAGCTCCTGCATGGTCTCCCAGCTTAATTTCACAAAAGGCTCTGTAAATGTTAAATTCAACAATCTGTGATACCTTTTTCTTGAAAGACTAAAAATGTAATTAAAAATGGCTTTCTTCACCATACACAAAATCCATACTTTTTATCCACCAATTTTTGTTTTTCAATAAGGGAATCAAAAGAAGAGTTACTTGTTAGTGGAGAAATTTATGATCTATAGACTATTCTAAAATAACGTTTGTGCTGATACACATAAGTACAGTGCAATACATCAGGAAATGTTTGGCTTCAGATAAATTAAGAGAGGGTTCTTGGTGTATAGCCTCACCTGTTTAAAAAGCAACTTATTGTCAAGGATTGTATCTTCTCCTCCTGTATATTTTCTTCCTTTACTTTTTCAGCTTTTTCCCCTTCTTCTTCACTCGAGGATGTTTCCTCATCAGAATCAGAGTGATTTAGATAGCTAGAGGATAGAGACAAAGTCATTGATCAAGACTTAAGGCCCCTTTTCTGTCATTTTTCTTTAAAAAATTTGAGGCGATAGCTTAAAAAACAATTTAAGTTCATCTTACCGCAGTGTCTTGGAGTATTTCTTTTTGGCTAGTTCATAATTTTGGGCCTTGAACTGTTCATTTCCAATACCCTTCAGTGCCTCTGCTGCAGCTAATACTTCTTCGGGCTGAAATAACAACAACTCCACTTTCAGCAAATTTAGGACATCCATTTGCTATGCTATAGGTACACAATCATGTTAAAAAAACAAAAATGCCTTACAGATTAGTATTAAGCTTGTTCTGTCTACCTTATCTAATGAATGAAAAATGTGGAAAAATGAAGCCCCTACATTTGCAACAAAGAGACTACCTTGCTGAAATCTAGATCAGAGTCTGTTGGCCAATCTGGAAGCTTGTCTCCTGTTCCATCATCAGCGCATATGCCATCATCTTCCCCTGGTTGCAGCTCACCACAGTCATCAATGACACATAGCTAAGAGAGGAAATGACACAATTAAATCTGGTCAAATCATCACCATCATCTTTTATTTACATCATTAACACAATTACACATTACATTAACCCTAAACCCTAAGCCACATCAAAATATTTGAAACTGATTTATGCACCTTGCATATCAGACCTGGCAATGTTCCTAGCTTGCCTTCTTTCAATATCAGAAATGGCCCATTAACTCTTTTACTTCCAAGAGTGACTCCACATATATTTCTCTTAAAAATTTTAATACATTTTCAAGCAGAAATTAAAGGTGATGAGAGGAAGAAATAAATCAGCTGATAAAATTTTTTTATTTAATAACAAGCTCTAAGCACCAAAATTATGAGAAAAGTAGGGCATACAGAACAGAGAAGTAACGTTTAGTTCTGTAGAGTGAAAGGGTTGAGGTGCTGCCCCAGGTTACAAGGCTACAGGAAGGCCAATAAACCCTCTGCACCCTGCTATCATCAGTATGCATATTCTCCACACTGTCATCCATACATTTCCTAGGGTCCTGACAAGGAGAATTTGTTCAACAATCAACAGCTTCTTTAGGTGACCAACATTTCCTTTGTTCTCATGACCTTAAAGTGTGATTTAGGGGGAAATAATGTAAGGAGAATTTAGATGCTTGTCATTCTTAAGGATCAAAGAGCTAATAACAAAGTAGTATCAGTGACGCACCTTTTTAGGTTTACTTTCATCCACAGGTGTATTTTCAAGTTCTTTAACAACACTCCATCCCTTGGTGACCTTACCGAAGACAACATGCTTCCCATCAAGATGTGGTGTTGGTACCGTTGTGATGAAAAACTGTGAACCATTAGTGTTTTCACCAGCATTTGCCATTGAAAGAAGGCCACGTTTATCATGCTGTGATAAGATAAACAAAACAAAAAAGTTAAAGCAAGGGATTTCTTGACTGTTTTTGAAGGAAAACAACCCTAGAGTAGTCTATAAAAGTTTTTGGAAGTCTTAGGGATTTAAAAGCAATGCTTGTATTAAGAAAAACTTTTTAAGTGCAATGTTTAGTACTATGAAAGATTTTGCAGATTTTTTGGTAATTGTGCATCATTGTGCAGGTGAGGCCAAATTTTGCACACCCAACTCGTGTACCCAGATAGAAGCCCTAACTCATTGGACAGAAGGCCGACTGAAGGGTTTTGCAGCTTGGGCTTGCACCTTTAAGTGGCAATGAACCTTGCACCAGTGATTTATGAGAAAAATGTTTCCTACAGTGTACCTTCCTAACTACCTAATGGTAAACTCATGGCATGTTGCAACAAAGCAAGATTGGTCATGGACAAAATACCAGAGATGGGAGATCAGCAAAATATAGGAATTTTAAAACACCTTTCTTTTAAACTAAACAAGTCATGACAAAACCCCACAGAAACATTTGCTACCTTTAATTCAAAGTTCTCATCCTCAAACTTTTCACCATAGATAGATTCTCCCCCAGTTCCATCACCATTGGTGAAATCTCCACCCTGCACCATGAAACCTTTAATGACTAAAGCCAGAAATCAAAATTGTCAAATAAGCAACAGTTTTCCTATACTGTCATTGGCTGTGTTTATTATGGTATAAATATAATTATGAAAAAATGGTGAAGACTGGCAAATCATACCTAACACAAGATTGTCTGTAATGACTTATTGCAGGACAACATATGAAAGTACTTACTTCTGTGAAAGGTGCAGCCTTTGTAATGAAGTGGTTTCCCAGATATAGAAGCATTCCCTTTGTCTCCAACACACAAAGCCCGAAAGTTCTCTGCAGTCTTTGGGCACTTGTCAGCAAATAATTCGAAGACTATTCTACCTACTGATGAATGACAAAGGTAGATAATGGCATGATCAAAAACTCAATTCAGGGTCCTGATTTGTTTAAAGAGGCACTCAATTCTATAACCATGGATGCTAATTCTTACATTTCCCTTCATATTATCCTTGATAAATTTGCAATTTTTTATTCAGAAACCATCCCCCCCCCCCCAAAAAAAAGTTTCAATGATCCCCTGTGGGGAGGGGGCACGTTTAATCAAGCAATAAAGTACAAAGTACCACCAAGGCAAGTTTCTGCATGGTAACCTTAACTTTAACACAGATCAAACATGGAACCATTTTAAGCTTAAGTCGATCAAAAATAGTTGACAAATGATAATTGAATTAACATGCAGCAAATTTTGAAAATTAATCTATTTTGGTCTAAAGAGTTCTTCAACACCATAACGACCTCTTTTTCAGACCGCATCAAAATGTACAGCTATCACTCAATTTGCACTCTGCTATATCGATTTTCAATTAATTTTGAGCATGGATCAGTGAAACTAACTTGCACATGTTGTAATTTCGTTTTTAATCATCGCCTCGGAAAGAGAAAATCTGGTTCCTTACCTCTCTCGTCACCGATGGAAACGTCAAAGAAACATCTTGGGTTTTCATTGTCGGACATTTTAGCTAAGAATTCTGCAGAAAAATATTGAGGACACAAATAAGGTTTGACGAGGAACTCCGCACACGAGTACAGACAAAAAAATTTGTACTGTCACATGTGTTGTGTCACATGGTACCAAAGAGAAACCGCTGAATCAGCTGATTGTCCACGGGACATTATATGGATGTTACATAATGGATTTATTGTTGACGAACAAGATGGCGTCTGGCAAAGTATATTGAATCATGCAAAGTTGCATCAAAAGTCATGTCTAATAAAGTTAAGACAGGGATCTTTATCGGGGGATTTGTAGCATTCACTCTTGCCGCGTTGTATCCTGCTGTGATCTATCCAAAATTGCACCCAGAGGTTTTCCGTAAGTATTTAAGGCTATGATATGATATGTAACTTAAAGTAGGCTGCTGAAGCTTTTAGAAAATTGTTGATGTGTGTAAGGTTCCTTGTGCATCAAAATGTTGGTAGTTCTTTCAATGTTGTTAACTTGGTACTTGATCGAAAAAAGAACTGATAATTGCAGTGTTCCATTGTCATGGTTGCTGCAGGTCAGGAAATTGTCTAAGAAAAATAAATTTCTTCATGATCAAGGCCAGGCCCGTAGAGGTCAATTGAATGTCGGGGGATTTTGCTTTGAGTCAGGGAAATTTAAATCTTGGAGAGAAGTCAGAGGAAAATGAAATGTTGGGAAAATGTGAAGTCGTTCATCTTTTCTTGGTCCTTTTTATGATGACAAATGATGACACTTTCCTTTTTGGTGATTTGTTTGTGAAAATGTCAATTCAGTTGATTTGGTCAGAGATTAATATGACGTTTTTTCTGGGGAAAGTCAGGGAATTTCAAAAACCTATGACTGTGACAACCATAATTGTTTTCCTATTTTCCTTTTGTAGAGCAAATTCAGAATGAAACAAGAAAAGATATAAAACAGGAAGAGATTCAACCTGGAAGTAAGTCATAGCTTGGGTTTGGTGTATAATTCAGTTCTGTTTCATCTTAAAAAATATGGGAAAGATGTTAAGTTATAGCATTTGATATTGTTAAGAGGGAGAGGCTGTTTTCTTACAGTTGCCGCACTGGACTTAATGTGTAAGGCTTGGGGTTTGATACCTAGCTGGGTCATGGTGCTGTATTCTTGGTTAGATACTTTCAAAGTGCCCCACTCCACCGGAAAAAGTTCTGAAAAATTGTCAGGGAAGCCTGATGAAATGCTGGAGAGTAACCTGCAGTGAACAGCAGCCCATCCAGGGGAGAGTTAAGTAACTCTCTCAGTCACTTCTTGCTATAGAAACCAAGAAACCTTTTGGCTCAGGTGCAAACTTGGCACTTTTTTTAATCATTTTTATATTTTCAGATATGAAGGTCTGGTCTGATCCATTTTCAAGAAAATAAATCAAAAGAAGATGTTACAAAAAGACCTACTTTCAACTGCTTTTGGAGAAGAGGAACAGAGAGTGGAAAAGAATGCAAAGGGCACCTCTAGATATATTCTGTGAAAGAATTTTGTTGTGACAAGACCCCTGTTATCAGGAACAACATTCAGTGATGTAATGTGACTCGACAATAAAAAAAAAAAAAAAAAAAATTTGCAACAGAGATGTAATCTTTGAGTTTTAAATTGCTTGCATAAAAATAAGGCAGATGATTTTACAGTTTGGCAAACAGTTCATGGCAAAAAGTAATCTGTACTTTAAGGGGCTTATTCAGGGGTGGCACTTATTCAACAAAATTCATCACTCCCTTGTATTCATAATTGTACTTTTCCTTGAATGTTGGAGATTCCACATTAATTTTGTGGCAAGGATTGCTACAACATCACAGTATCGGCAGACAGCTCACATCATACTGTTATAAAACACTTTATTTGCAGAAGTTTTGTCTTAAAATAACTACTAAAACCCAATATTATTGCAACTGCTTCTAAGCTTGGTTTATATTATTCCTTTAGTTCACAATGTTGGAGTAATTTGAGAAGCCATCAATCTGCTAATGATAAATACGAATTCTTTGTACATTAAAATTTATTAATCACAGGTGCTTTGTGTTCTGGAAAAAAATAGCCTATGAGCCCATCATCATTTAGTTAATTATATAATAGTGGCTGCTTGGAATTCTGGTACATTTACATCAAGTGGAAACTATGGTCACTTGTAGTTGTAATTAAATTTGGAATAATTATATTTCTTTTCAAACTGCAACTTAGAATTTCTTGGTAAGATGAGTGTCATGTGACACGGCAATCTGATTTTTTTTGTTGCTCCTGAAATTAAAATTATAATTAGTCAAAACAAATATTCATGAAAGAATTGAAAATCAAAAATAACTGCATTCAGTCAAATAAAACAACAATGCTGAAAAATGAAATAATTATTTGGCTATCAACAGTAAATCAAGCTACTTGACAGCCACATCTAATGTTAAAAAGCAGATGTTTCAAGCATATGCCTACACTTGAAGTTGTTCCCATGTATTTCCTAACAGCAGTCATTGCAAATTATGATCAGGTTCCCCCACAGGTAAGAAGAACACTCTTAAGTGTTCCCCACTCTCAACATGTGGCTTCGTAGCCATCCGCAGGTCAAATGGAATTTATTTCATTACAAACAGTGATCTGATTCCTCTAAGGGAACCAAGATCACTCCAAAATGTGCCCTGCTCCCAACATGTGGCTTCAAAGCTCAGTTGGTAGTAATGCCCAACTAGTATCTGGGAAGCACAGGCTTGAATCCTGTTAACCCTTTAACTCCCAGATTAAATTTGTAATTCTCCTTACTGCCAACCTTACAATTCTTATAATGTTAGTTGAGAAAATTTAATATTGGATCAACTAATTATTCCCAAATTGATATTATTCTTTATTCATCACTCATCACTCATCTATTTGATATTGTATTGATACTGTAAGGAGAAATTCTGTCCTGGTCACTTATGGGAGTAAAAGGGTTGTAGCCATTTGCTTGAATTGCAGGTCACCTCCAAGGATCATTGCTTTACTTGATTTTCATCCACTGGTCAAATGAAATTTATTTCATTACATATTAGGTGCTTTCATTTTTTCTTTGCCATGTTAACATTTCTTCTGATTGGCTTTGGTAATTAGCTTGGAGACTTCAAGAAAATGCACATACCTGTTGTCGTCTCCTTTGCTGCTCCTCTCTTTCAGATTCTGCCAGGGCTCGTGCTAAAGCTCGGTCTTCCTCTTCTTGTGTTGTGGGTGGTGGACTGGGGGACTTTGTCTTTGACTGATCTTGTAGAGAAGCTTGTATAGCTAAGGCTAAGGCCTCATCCTCACTCTATGAACAATAAAACATAGATATTTAAAAAATTATCTACAAGACTAGTGTTCTATGTTGTAATTTGATTGCCTGTCGATATTGCCATGCATCTGTACTGTAATAGATTACAGATGATGTCAAAATGATGAAAGAACAAAAAAGTGGCAAGTAAAGCAAAGCCAAGTGTGTTGCTGATGTTCTTACCACACTTTGATGTCATCTGTGATCTGAACAAACTTGCAGCAACATGGAAACTATTTGTTGTCTTATATAATAAAGAAAAAACATTTTCTTGGTTGTTTTGTCATCTACGGGTCTGTTCTTTAACAGATCATGAGTAAGAACCAATTAAAAAATGTGTGTTTAACCCTTTACACCCTAACATCAGTATTCATATTCTCCACACTGGTCTCTGTACATTTACTAAGGTGCTGAAAAGGAGAATTTGTCTAACAAGCAGGAGTTTCTTTAGTTCATGATCAGTTCCTTTATTCTCATGACATTAATGTGTGATTCAGTGGTGATATTGTAAGGAGAAATTAGATGCCATCACTCTTAGGGGTAAAGGGTTAAGGGTTAATTCGGCTGATCCCATGAAGATGACAAATAAAGTGAGTGGCACTGTATTGTTGTTAAGTTTTGAGTGACTAAACTTTTCAATACTCATCCAGAACAAATTAGATTCAATAAATTTGTGATTTTTTTTAATTGATATCAGTTGGTAATTGAAGAAGAGGACTTCCCCCTCACTAACAATCAAGTAATAAATCAAAATCTTGAGCTCATAACCTAATGTATAATTATCATAATAATTATAGAGGCTTATGACATCAGCTTCTGACAATAAGCTGCTGACATTATGACTGTCAGAAAAAATTTGACTCTGAAACAGTAGTAGAGGAAAGTATTTACCAATGCTGGTTGTGGAATTGGTTGAGGATTTGGGGCAGTCATTTGTCTTTCTCGTCTGGACCTATAAATCACACAGAAGTATGTCACACAAGAATTTTAGAATCCTGGGAATGCAACACTTGCAAGAGATTATGAGGCTCTAAACAAAAAGCTCTCTGATGATGCACAACCTTACTGTTGAACATTACAACTAATAAAAATATTTGATTATCATAAAAATTTGATTGTGATGCCTAATTTAGTTGGATAAAATCCTGGATACACAGTACATTATGATTGGTCAGTTTTTTTTTTCAGTTAACCATTGCCTGTTTCCAATCAGAAAACAAGTACAAACCACATTAGAGGTTTTTTTTTAATTTTTTTTGTTTTCTCCACCTGGATGGGCAGTTTTTTAAATAACTTCTAGATTTTTCTGAACAGGGCAAGAGGAAATTTTAGAAAAGTTCAGCAGGAGCTTTTTACAAGATAGAACAAAAACAAACAGAAGCAAAATTTGATCTTCTCAACAACTACCAAGCTACCTACTCCATTGATACACATCTGGCTGCCACTAATGGGACAAATATTTTAAGTAACCACCTTTTGTTGGCTTCTGTTATTTCTAAATGGTCAGGCAAAAAATATTAATTAAAACATAACCACCTGGCACAAAAATACATTCCACAAGTGTACCTGTCCAAGTCTCTTCCTATTGATGACAAAGATGTTTGTTGTGGTTTCTTGTGTACTTTTGATGATGAAGCCACATTCTTTGCTCTGGTGGCTGCAGCTTCTCTTTAAATCCAAAATATAAAAACAATTTAAACAAAAACCCAAATAGCTTGAGGAATCAAATTTTACATTATTAAGGACAATTTAAAGACAACTATTTGTGAAAGGGTTTATTGTAAATCACCAATTCTTTGAACAAATTTTTTTAAAGGGAAATATAAGACAAAAGTAAGAAACTTACCCTGCTTTCAAGGAAGCACTTGTTTTACTACAAATAAAAAGGAATACTTTTAATCACTTGTGTGCTAAGCATTGGCAGACTAAAATTACAACTTAAGTAATAAAAAATCAGGATAGATTGACAATCAATTGAACAAAACTAGGGCATCTGCTGAACTAGAAATAAACACTGGCTTCCTGTGAGATATATACTAACCTTCTAGATGCACCCCTTATGACCCCAGAGCAGTTGTGATCTTGTTCATGTCTGTGTTTCAGACAAAAGTTTTGCCGACAAGATTCGCACCTAACAGGGATAAGCTGAAATAGTGAAAGGAAAGAGGATAAGTTATTAGTCTTGTGAGCCTTGTGGTCAATTACTATAAGAATTGATAATGATTACATCTAGAAAGATACCTAATGTCACTTCATGCAAGAAAGAGCTTTAGCAGCAACTGAAGTTAAACTTTGCAATGCAGGCAACTTCCTCCCTAAGCAACCCTCCTCCTAAGGGCTTCTCTAGCTTGAATTGTCAGCTTGCATGACTGACTAATAATGACAAAACTCCCAGACACCTTTTTTGGAATATCTACTGTCTCCCCTTCAACTTTTAATGTTAGTCTTCAAGATGGCATAGACAGACTGGGACTTAAAAAAATTAAAAGGGACAGAGAGGTGAAGGAACATCACAGATGTTGCTCTGGAAAAGTGTCTAGTAACCTAATTATGTCTAGGAATGCAGGTTCAAACCAATTAATGCAATTAATAGTGAATATGTATAAATATCTATTGGTATAATTATAGTGTACATTACAATTGTTTGTAAACAGACCTCTTTTTGTTTACATCCTTTGAGAGAACACCTATTCTGGTATGCCTATGGTGATACAAAAAAGGGAAATTCAAAATCCTATATTCAAAATGTGGTACCGTATATTTTCTTTTCATGTTAGAGACTGCATGATTACTTGGCTGACCTGAATTTTTCTTGCAAAGATCAGCTTACAGTCTGTGACACAGATTGATAATTGCAGTGACATTGAGTGAACTTTTTTTCAATCCCTGCTCAGCAACAGCCAATGACATTGTCATTTACTTTTAAAACCCTTTCACTCCCAAGATCTCATTTGTAATTCTCCCTGCTATCTGCTACACAAATTCTTATTAGCATGTCAGTTTGGAGAATTTGATATGGGATCAATTGATAATCCTCTAATTGATAATTTTCTTTCTCCACTTTAACTGTCTGCTTGATATGGTCTTGATGTTGTGAGGAAAAATTCTGTCTTGGCCACTTATGAGAGTTCAGAGTTAAGTATAAAGTAAAGAATTCCTTTGATAACAAACAGTAAGACAGATATTAGAGAGAGATTCAAAATTAATCAAGTGAACAAAGTGATACCAAGTGCACTAATAGTGTGAGTGAGAAAAGGCCATATCTCTAGTAAACGCAACAAAGTTTATGAAATTCAGTGATGTGTCTAATAAAAAAAGAACAACAATTTTAAATAACCTTTCTTTTAGCCACTGCTGGGTCAGACTGACAATCTCTGTCAATATGTTCTCCAACCTATGGAATAAAATATTTCACAAAAATGAATCAAATTGTTAAAATCCAAGTTTTCCTCTAAACATCCAAAAAAAGATGCAGCATAGTTTTCCTATAGATAACCATGATTAAATTTAAATCTATCATTTGAAAGGAAATCAAATTTGGAAAAAAAAAAATACAACTGCATCACCTTTATGTCAGGTTGTTCCCCTCTAGGGACTGGTACTGCTTTGTTACATAATGGACAAACTGGAACTTGAAAGTCCTAATGAAGACAAAAATTAAGAAACAAGTCCACATTTATCCTTTACCTTTAGCAGCACAAAACAATTAATGAGACTCTCTAGATAGCTAGTTTAACCACGATGGGGGTTACCTTTCATTTCATCAAAGAACACCTTGCCAATTTGCCGAAACTCCTCCGTCAACTCTTAGACTACTTATTTAGATTATCCCACTTGTCATAGAGAAGTTTCCAGGAGTTTGGCAAGTTAACCCTAGTGGTGGCAAATTGAGTGAAGACATCGGTGAGTTGGTTTTTGGCAAGTTGACAAGTTAGTAGCCTGACCAGTATCAATCACAGGTCACACCTCACTGGCAGATGTAGAGGGGAAGGGAGGGGAGGGGAGGGGAGGGGAGATCCATGTCATTAAAAACATATTGACTCTCCTTACACTATCTTGTGATAGATTTTCTATTTTCGACTGATCAATTCTTACTGAAAAAGGTAAAGAAAATGAAAAATAAAAGTAAAGAAAAGTGTAAGAGAGTACACAAAGTAATAAAAAATGTAAGGAATAGGTTATACTGTTGCATTTACCTTTTTGTAGGCATTTTCACAACTGTGTTCTGTATACTTGATATGATCCTTACTATAAACCAGGAAACAAATAAATTATTTTTGTCACTTACTAGTGCTTTAGAAAGTGATGGAACGTCAGTAAATAAAAATAATCGTTGAATAGTCTTACCAAAACAACTTGGAACAAGCATCACATTTCATGGGAAGGAAATCTACAGAAAGTCAATTTTAGGAAAATCATCACTTAAGTTTTCTCCATTTGGAAAGGAAAAAGCTTTTTCCTCACGAAGTTTATGTCTTAGGTCGGAGGCATTTGGTGAAAATAAAGGAAGTTAAATAACGAAAATTTCTGCGAAGTCATTTCATATTGACAAACCTTTTCTCGGTGGAGTTAAATACCACAGTAATCAACGAAAAAAAAATATCTCTCAAAGACTTCAGACAAAACTCACCTAACTGTTTACAGGTATTCAGGGTGCAGTTTGCTCCTAATTCGGGAAATTCCATGTTCATTAACTAATTATTAGGGACCGAAGTATGATTCATAAGTGATTCGCCTTAGTTTAAATTTAGTACTTTATATAAACTAAAATATTTTGTAACCAGGCCTAAAGTCCCAAAATGCACTCTGAAATGCGCGATATTGCTTAAAAACATGGCGGCGAACGTGGTGGGGAGAGTATCACCAACTTGTTGTAGACTATTTTTGGTCCCAGTTTCGAGAAAGATAGCAAAACCACCTAGCTTTGGTAAGTTTAATATTTAAGCAGTATTTCTGTTCTAGTATTTTGCCAAATTTGGCATGAATTACACTTATTTTTGTTTGATTTTGTTCGTTGATCCAGTCGCCCGGCGATTTTCATCTAGTCTTAAAGCAAATCTCAGACCGGTGTGTGTTCCTCAACAACATTACTTCAGACGATTTGGTGCAACGTTTACGGGTCATGGAGAACATGGCTCGCCTGTAGCTGACGAAGAATTACAGAAGTGGTTAGAAGAGGCAAAAAACAAAAGTTGGCTATGGAGATATTTTCACGACGTTGACGAAATCGAGAGAAGCGTTAGTATTTGATCTTTTGATGTAGCTCTTTTTTAAGTGTAATTTAACCTTGAGGATTTTGCCCTCAAAAGATCGGAATTATTTCCAGTATTTCGTGTGATGAAAAAGTTGTAGCCTCTGAAACTATAACAAATTTTGAAGTGCATGCTGTGTAACATATTAAGAAACCAGTCATTTAATTGATATTCGTAAGCTTTTACGACCCAACATGCTGTTTATTAGAAAAATAATTTCAAAACAAATTCTTGCACGAAGGCTGCATGCAATGGTGCAATTAGAAACAGGTAGAGCTGAAGGGCCCAGCTTACAGCCCCTTGATACCTAGCGAAAGATAAACAGAGATAGTGGTGGCCGTATGATAATGTGCTTATCTACACTATTGGGACATCTTGACCATAAGTAACTCGTTTTCCTCTCTGAAACTTCCACTCTGTCAAGAAGTACATATTATATCACTTGAAAAAAAAAACTGCCTTAGGGGACAACTGAGGGTTGTTTAAATTATTTAATTTAAACAAAGGTCTTTAGCTCCAAATAACTGAATTCAAATTTGTTATTTCCAGCTTATGTCTGAACAAGAGTACAATGATCGGGAAAAAATGGTTGAAAAGGTAGTTCTACTTTGCTTTGATAATCTGCTTTGTCAATGTCAGGGGAAAAAGCTTGGCTTTATTGATTTGTGAGTTCACAGTTATTTCACTGTTTTAAATTAACTTCTGCTCACCATTGTGTTATGTATGATTTTCGATAAATTTTTTTTGCATTATATATAGTTAATGGATAGATACTTTGACAAGCCAGATGCAAAGTTTGATCTAGATATTTTCGAGGAGTCGATTGATCTGCTTATCAAGTACAATGACAGAGATGGTGTGACAACATTTTGGAGACTAATGGAAGAGATGAATGTTGAACCTCCTGAAGAGCTCAGAGAGAAGGTTTCTCTTTTTTTTTTTTTTTTTTTTTAATAAGCAGCATACTGAATTGCAAAGCAATACTCCCTTTTAGGGGGGTCCAGAGGCAAGCTCTCTTGTTGAAATTTAAAACTCTCTGAAAATGATATCCAGCATTGTGGGACATATTTTGAGTCACTTTTTTTTAACCAAAAAATGATTTTAGAATCAGTTGGTTGTATTTGATCACAATTCACAAAGTAGCCAGCATAAAATGGTCTGTCTGGGTTTCCATAATGCACCAGCCTCTAATGACAATTCTGGAAGTGTGCTCGAGATTGATTATGTATCATGATTATCCAGATTAAGGATTGTTGCAAAAAGGACTTTGATTGGTGACAATGGCTCGTGTTTGGCTCCATAAAATTAAGAATAAAATATTTGTAACTTCCCAAAAAGCCTCAAAAAGCAGATTTTGTAAATTTTACCACTTAGATGAAATCTCCTGGTAGGTGCAATGATGAGAAGACCAATAACATTTTGTATGATTTGGATTTCTCTCCTCAGGTTGAAACTTTCCTTGTGAAAGCAAGAGAGGCTTCATGGTATGAGTAGAACACTGCAGGAAATTGAGATTCTCAAACCCTTCAATAAAGTTGAAGTCTGCTAAGATGAAAATTTTGCAACGGAATGGTTTACCATGTTGGTTTGGTTTTAGAGCTGGCTTGATTGTTAGATTGGTGGTAGTCTTGTCAAACACAGTCAAATCACCTGGTACAGTCTTACATTTTGATCTTGTGAATTTGTCTTCTCCCTCCTTATTGTGAAAGATTAATCAATCAAGGTGTATTCCTTCAAATCTTGTCCAAATTTGAATTGTAAATTCACTGAAAATTCTGATAATTTGACATCCACTTTTTTGACTAGTTGTAATGACCAATAATCTTTTTGACTAAACAATTTTGTACATACACAGTTTGCCAACTTAACTGCACAATATTGAAAGAAGAAATAAACTTGGAGCAGGGCTCGAGATCCCCTACAGTATTTCAATCTGTACCAGATGATTTGATTCCAATCTAAGTGTGTGAAAACAAGGCTAAGTTTAAAATGAGGATGTTATTTTATAAACTGTGCATTGAAAATAAACAGTGATATTTTAAGAGGTTGCGTATGTCATTCACTTTTCTTTGTGTTCATTTTCATTCTTGTAACAATCAAAGCTCTCTTAATGAGCACTACCCATAAATTCTCCTGTTTCTGAAATTTTGTTACAAACTGTATTTCAAATTCAAGATTTAAGCCTGCTCCAGAAGAGAGTTTTTTATTTCTTGTGGTACCCTTCCCAAAATTTTCCATTATATTAGGAGTGCCAGTTAAATGCTCCGCCTGAGCATAGACCCCTTCTCTGTTGATGCATAGGAGGCAACAAGCCACATCAATTTTGGTTCTGTTTCCACTGCTTCTTATACAAGTTTCTGAAACATACTCCTTTTTGTTGTCATTTATCTGGATTCTAATCAGTTTAGAATTAAGAAACTTGTCTGGGGACTAAATTGTTTAAGGGTAAAAAACAAAGTACTTTTATTTCAGTTAGGCTTAAATTTATTTCAATTCATTACAATTTTGCCTAATATTACAAAAATATTGCCAAACCACTATTCTCACATACAGGAAAAAAAAATACAATTTACTTCATTGGAAGTGTTGATTTAGATTTTGCAGCCTTTAACCCTTTAACTCCCACAAGTGACCAAGAGAGAATTTCTCCTCACAATATCAGTACAATATCAACCAGATAAGCAATGAGAATAAAGAAACTTAATTGGGATAATTAGTTGATCCAATACTAAATTCTCTGAACTAACATAAGAATGTTACTGTTGACAGTAAGGAGAATTACGAATTTGATCTGGGAGTTAAAAGGTTAACAATGATGTCCTGTACCAATTACTAAAGAGTAACATGCCACTTCATTTCCCTTGGAATACAACTTCAGCTTGGTAATCTTGAAGATAGAGAAATGACTTGTTTGGTACCAAGTATAACTTTTTCTTTTAAAATAAGTCCTTCTATAACTCTTAGAATTTGATATTTTATCCTATGTCAAATGAATGTTTTTTAATTGAATTAAGTACAACTCGCAACACTTTGGAAGCAAATTGATGTACTCACATCCTTGTAACCTGGCAAGCAAAGTCTTCTAGAATCGTCCTAGTTCTTAGACTTCCCCTTGCATTCTTCAATTTTTTTACACCTCAGTTTAGGAGATCAATGAAGACTCTGCCCACAGCCAACTTGACTAAAAATGTTGAAAAAATTTTCCTACATGATCACCACCTTTGAAAATTGACATGAACCTTCCTAAACTGTGATTAAAACAGTCTTTCTTAACATAACATTTCTAAGAATAAAAGTCACATCAAGTGGTCCAGTCAAATAATGCTCCATGGTAGGCTGAAAAAGGGGATAAGTTCCAGGAGAAACCAAAGTGCTACCCTGGTGTACTACTGGAAACTGGGTTTGATCAACTGAGTTGATTATGTAACTTAGCTATTGTTAAGAGTACCTAAAGCTGGCATTTTGAGTGTTGGCCCTGCGTCAGAGCAAGAAAAAGCAAAATGAATGATGTCTCAGCTTAATGCTTAAGTGAAAATTGTTCTATACATCCTACTTGATTAATGAAAACAATGCTTTAAATTTTCCCCTTCTCGTTCTTAAAGACAATTTTTCCCGGTTAGATTTTTAGAGGTACTCTTTTGATTAAAAGAGAAACCAGAAAGAAACTTGCTTTCCTGGAAAACAAACTACTCGTATATTCCTTTTTTTTAATCTCAAACAAGGACAAAAGTAAAAAAGATGTACGAATGACAAGATATGATTGGCAGTAAGTTACATAAAGTTAGGGGATGTTTTGTGGTTATTTAATAAACTAAGCAAATTTGCCTATTTAACAAACACTACATAACATCGCAGTTGATTCTTTGAGGAGAGCGAATGAATATGCAAGGGGTATTGGTAGCATGTACGACTTCTATTAACAATAATTAATTCTTGAAAGTTTTTACATTAATATAAGGAATTGTAAGTCGTAGATGCAGATGCAAATGAACTAACTCTTTCTACACTGAATAAGAAAGAGGATTTATTTTGAGCTCAAATAGTGGAATAAAGAAAGGCGTTATTTGTCTCGTCACAAGAATGGGACAAACAAAAATCTGAGTCCAAAGCAGGAATTATATTCCAAGACCACCACATTCCCTGCTTAGTTGCTAACACTGAGCTGCAAAGCTCTATGTTATGAGATGGCCCATTACTAAATTCATATGTTCAATCCAGAGTTCTGTGGAATGATTAGCTGAACAAAATGAGATTCTTTTGTCCTATGCACATGATAAAACAAGCAACATCTTTCCTTAACTTCTAAGTAACTTTTTATACCATTCCACGACAGATATAAACCCAATACTAACAGTAACTTAGTGGTTTTACACCTCTTAATGAAAGAGTATAGAATCTGGATCTTGATTTGCAAGCGTGGCTATGTGACGTAAAACATCCTTCTTTGTAATGATTCCCAATAAACGACTGGAAAAATAAAAGATGAGAAATAAAACTCATT